AGAACCTGTGGTAGCTTCTTGCACAATGTCTGCTGGGATTGACTCTAGCCCCTCAGACTTTGAAAGGATAAGTGGTAAAGATAATCACCAGCCTCCGTAATGGAGGTGTGTGAACAGGAGGACACTTTGGACATTCGTTAACTGGACAGGTGGTGTTTGAAGAGAAAGTTGCAGATAGTCATCAAAACATGAGAGTCTGAATGTTGCATGTGATGAACTGAAGCTTCTCTCCTTCAGAAAATCAGCTATGGTCAGAACAAGGTTGTTCTTAAGAAAAACTCTAAGCAAACACTTTCTCAGATGTCTGGCTCCATCTCAGACAACATAAATGTATAAGCTGGTTCTGCTCTTGTCACCATCTGCATTCTGACATGCATCCACAGAGAAAACAGCAGATCCAACCATACAATAGTATGTTTACTAAGCTAAAAGGGGGGAAAAAATTACTCCTTTCAAGGAAAAGCACTCCACTCTCCTATAATCTCTCCAATCCCCATGCTGTCACCTGTCTTCAAAATCAGTTACCAGAGGTGGAGAAGAAAGAATGGGGAGATCAGTGTCAATCCAAAATGGTCAGCCATCACTTGTCATCATCCAGACCTCCCCCATACCTCTCTGCAGCTGGAAAACAACATGGCTCCGTAACAAGCTGATTAATTGAGCTTTCCATCAAGCATACAATGATCAATGTGTATCTGTTGTCTGTGTGAAAGAGTTAATTCTGAACCATTAGTTAGTGTTATTTAAAACTAACTCTGTAGTCTTAGTTATTACCTCCTTAACAAGGAGATAATGTTTTCATTTTGTTTGTCTGTCTGTGTGTTAGCAGGATTCTGTAAAAACTACTGAACGGATTACCACAGAACTCGGAGGAAGGTCCTGAGGTTTGGGTCTGGAAACAACTCATTAAATGTTGGTGTGGATCCAATAAAAGGGGCGAATCCAGGAATCAAAGTCTCTGCAGCATTTCCCACACAGTTCATTCAATCTATGCCGGTAGCTGACAGAAAAGAAGAGTTCATGCATGAAACAGAGAACTGCATTTCATGCTACTTTTGAGTACACTGACTGTCTGTGTGGATGGTAAAAACTTATTGGACAATAGCGTTAGTGCCAGCATGCAGAAAATAGCACCGCACACAGCTACACAATGCAGCAACAGAGCAAAACACAGATGACAGGCAGCCGCAGTGTAGATTATTAAAAGGAAACACTGCTTTGGCAAGTGAGTGAGATATAACGTTAGTCGTGGTGTAGGCATGCACTCTCAGAGAACCCTCTAGTTTTGTCTGCATTAGTTAGTTAGTTCGTAGGCTTGCGCAAAAACTTCCCACTCATTTCCATTATATTTTGTGGAGGAATAGGGGGTGACCTAAGAAAGACCCTGTTCAATTGGAATCTGGATCAGGGGTCGGAGCCAGGATTTTGTTTTCACTGTCCTTAAAGCCACAAGGTAGGTTGTTATTCAACAGGGTTAGGGTTAGTTACTAATTCATGCATCATGATGGAAAAAAATCAGGCTATGGGAGAAGTTTGTGCAATTGAGTGCAGATCCAAACAAAAATCTGGAACAGGAATTTAAATGTGGTTTCATGAGAGTTTGGTCTTGGTGGAGTTATGTGCTTATTGAGAGCCATGTTTAGTTTTGATATATCTCAACAGGCTACATTCCACTTCTACTCCACTCATTCTTTTTCATGTGGCTCACTGGGTGTTACTGTCTGCTTCTCCAAACTGAGCTCACACATGAGAAGTGATCGTGCTGGCAATCAATGACAGAAATTGTTCACGGTCGGCCGGATAACTCGGTTATGTTTTTTTCACTGAAATCTTCCCCTTGGCCATGAAATAATATTATGTAACAGAGATGACACTAAAGACATGATTCAATGTCATTTTCTCTCGCTTTTACAGGGATTGGTTAGCATGCAAGCTGGTTTTCAGCAAAACCTTGTTTCACATCCACATGCTATAATCCTTATGGTAGTAAAAAGCATATCTGGGAGATGATCTCTACACACACATACCATAGCTACAGGCCACTGTACAAATCCATCAGAACAATAGAGTCAGGGTAACACTCTCAAAGGTACATCAGTGGTAAATCACCGGCCTGAGGATTCCAGCACATCTGGAGAGTCAAGCCTCAAGCTTGCCTTCCTAACGTTAAGGTGGTTTTCTGTTGTAGCCTGGTTATGATTATGACTAAGGGATGTCCCATGACACAAATATATTTCAACGTAGGAAATCATGTGCAAAGTGCAAAGTGAATCAGTTTAAACCTCAAGCCATCTTGTCTCCATTGTCCCTCACCAACACAGGCTAAAAAAAGCAGTGTCAGGATAAACTACATTCTAGTGCTGGAATGTGTTTTTATTAGTGCAGCATGGTTATGGCTTCAGTTCTGTTGGCTGGTTAAAAGGATCCACATCTGCCTCACACATATTCCTTTACACCCATGGCTGCCTGACTGACTTTTTTTACACCAGCTTCTGTTGCTAAAGACTCTGAAATTTAATTAAGTGGCTGAGAAGCAATGAATGCAAAGAAATGCTGCACTTATCTGAACAGCGAGCACATTGTGACGGCCTTTTTATCATAAAATCTTGGGGAATAAAACATGCATGATTGACAAAATGTATCACACTCTGCAGTTCTGCCGTACATCATTGTTTCAAGTGCACTAGCATAGCAACGGTCACATCAGGAACTACAATCGTCAAACGTCACTTACAATATTTATAAAATAAAAACATATAAAGTTCATATTATAGATTAGAACTTTTGCTTTTCAGATACAGTTTGAGTTCTATTGGACTATGTATAAAATAAGCATGAAACAGAAAAGATATGTGAGTCGAATAGGGGAGTGTGGGTATTGCCATGGTAACTTAGCACGCATTAATAAGATGTAACAGTGGGAAGCTGCTCTATAAAGAGCAGTGAGGAGTCTGATTTGTGTTGGTGTAAATTGCAGTTGAACCTTACTGAGTCTGAAAGGGTGTCAGCTGTTGGCAAGAAGATAATATAATCAAAGAACATCTGTTGATCGACTCTATTAGTGTATTATTCTATAAAGAACAATATTGACACTGTTCGGAATATTGTTTTTATCATCAGAAAACTTTGATTCGATTGATAGATCTGTGTTTCATCATAGAATGAAGCTTCGCGTTAGTTCATGCAGGACACAGAGTCATGTGCTCAGCTCTCAGCTTCCGATAGGTCAGGGGTGCTCATCAGCCACCCACCAATCACAGCCCATTCTCTCACCAAAGCGGTCCCTTTAAATACGACCTCATCCTCACTGATCCCTGCTCAGCTACACCGCCACCCACGTCTGCTGCCGGCAACCTGCCTCCACCACCCCAGCCTCCACCCTTTAGCACCGAGTCCAAACACGGTCACGGTAAACGATATTCATCTTAAACAAAGGCACATTGCCTGCTACACCCAACAGGAGGTTCTGGACATGTTCCCTGTGTTATCTGAGCATGCTGCTCGGGTAATCCAGGGAACATCTGAGGAATGGAACCCAAGACCCAAGAAAGCTATTTTTATATTTAACTACATCAATTAAACAAAATGCAGTATTATGTTAATGATCTTGCTAGTTTTAACCAGTTCCCACTGTCTTTGCTGGAGCAACAGAAATGTTGCTGAGAAAAGTGACAATGTGTGTGTTAGATTGACAGTAGAGGTGTGTGGATAAATGCACTGATAAGAGTCAATGATATTGTTGGTGCTGAGATAGATAGACACATTAAATTCTTCTGTGGGCCCCTTAAAGTTTTGGGTCAGCTTTGCTTTTTGCAGAAAAACTACAATAAAGAATGTTTCCTTTACTTGATTCCTGCTGTAAATTAGATTAAATCCAGATCCTCGAAAAACCACCAACATCTCTGAATCCTTCTGTGAAACCAAATCCTTCTGTGAAACCAAACCAGCTCAGTCTTCAGCCCTCGTTAGCTTTTACTGATGACAATCATACAAACAAATAAGAATGATCGGAATATCAATGTATGCACCGTCACTGTCTCCTCTAAAGGTTTGGAGTTTGGTTCACTAATTAATATAATACCAACACATCTAAGCTGAATAAAATATATCTTCAGTTGCCAATGAATTCAGTTTTGTTAATTCAGACTTAAAGGGAAAGTTCACCCAAAAATGAAAATTCTATCATTATCATGCCAATGGAGGGGCAGGTGAAATATTTGAGTCCACACTTTTGGAGTTTCAGGGGTAAACAGTGTTGCAGCTAAATCTAATACAATTGAAGTAACTGGGGATTGATTCTTCAGACAAAATAAACAACAGAAAAAACATAGAATGCCTTTATACTGCTCCTGTGGTGTCATCCAAGTGTCCTTAAACCAACATTCAAATTCAAATCAAAGCCGTAGCATTTGCACCATATTTTTAGCCTAAATGTCCTCTGTTGTCCTCCTCCTAGTTATTGCTGCAGTAACTGCACTTATTTCGAGTTGATGCACAAAAACAATTTTTTTTATTAAAAAAAAAAGACAATAACAGTATTTAGACTCATCCTTTATGGCTGTGAATCTCCAACTTTACTTAAAATAAATAATAATAAATAGAACTTTCTCAACTAAAAAGTTGTGAAACAACATAAAGCACACATAAACTAACATAACAAACAAATAGAAATAAACAGGTATACAATGCCAGGCTTTATAAACAAAGTTTGCAAAGAACAAATAGAAACTGGGAGTGATAAACAGATACAGTTTTGGATGTAGAAAGGAGCATATGAAAAATAAATCGTTTTCTAATTCCCTTCTGTAATTTGTGATATATATCCTCAAGTTCTAAGATATAAAGATATAGTCCAAAACAAAATGACAAACTGCAACATCCTGCTTCACAGTCTCACAGGTGAGAGTCGCCACATGGAACCACGTGACTCTGTGTTTATGGTTCATGACTTCATGGAGCAGGAGCAGGGGCAGGAGCAGGAGCAGGGGCAGGAGCAGGAGCAGGGGCAGGAGCAGGAGCAGGGGCAGGAGCAGCAGCAGCAGCAGGAGCAGGGAGGGACAAGCGCCAGATAGAATGAGGTAGTAAAAAAAAAAAGAAAGGCAGAGCTTCGCAGTCTCCTTCAGGCATCTGAACAAGTCTGGACAGTTCTGCTGCTGCTGCTGCCTGTGTCACTGCGCTCAGCTCAGGCAGCGTCAGGAGTCTCCACAGTTTCCTGCAGGGATGCAAACACATCACTTGGCTGTCTGAACTGCACCGGAGTTTGATCTGTGAGGCTGTGACACTGGACTCTTTGGGACCGTGAGAAATCATCGTGTGGCCGGACAGTGCACGGAGAGGTCGGGGCTGGATATGCCACAGGTGGAGAGGTGTGGAGCGACAGGCTGTGGCTCGGTGCACGGAGCAGACATCCGCAGGTAAAGAGAGGGGGCATTAGGGGCTATGTGGGGGGGTATGTTGGTAGTTTTGTGGGGTTGTCGCTGGTGCTGGCCTGAATTGGAGTCATGCACAGTGTGAAAGCTGCATTTGTGCATTAAAAGCTATAGAGTCTTGACTTATAACTTAATGTTTTACACATGCAGGGATGTTGGAAATCGGGCAGTGATATACTGTTCAATGTACCTGCTGGTATAAGCAATAAATCACTTAACATTAACAAACCACCACTCCTTAGCCTGTTGCTCCCCCTGAAGCGCAAACTTTGACTTTGGACAAGACTGAGCAGAACATGTCATCGCCTCAATTTCACCTCAATTGTGAGAGGTTCCTTTGGAGGGTAAATCTAAAAGAGACATAATACTCTGATATAAAAGAAGGAATTACAAAGCATTCCAACTGGATATGGCCAACATTTGTATAAAATGTTCATACCAGTCAATACCAATAATTATCATGATAAATGTCACATTATTATTATTATTATTATGTGTTAGTTGGTTTTAAACTCTTCTTTGTCGAAAGTGAATTAACTCTTTTAACAAACCTGAGTTAGGGTAAATACCTCCCCACGGTGTCTGCACAATGCATAATCATTATCGCAACATGTATTGGACTTTTTTATGTTGCCATGATTGAAAATGATGCTGTGATAAATTATTGCTGTTGTTTTATTGCCCTGCAGAGATATGTATTCTCCTTTTGCAATCACTCCGCCTGCATTAATCTTCATTACAGTTGAGGACAAAGAGGCAGTGTACAGCCACATTGACCCCAGTTGAACTAATTTTACTCAAAACATGATGATGCATGGATGAAGGGGAATCACACTCCTCCACTTCCTCCTCTGCCTTTGTGTGCCAATTGCTTTCAATTGTCTGTTCCTCTTCTGAGGGCATTCATGTGTTTGCTGTGGTTTGGCTCAGGCACCAGCTGGAAAAAATCCCCCATTGACATATGTGGATTTGAATGTTTTTAACGTCATAATGCGTCAAAGCTTTAGCAGGTCTGAGTCTTCCTCTCTATTTGCTCCATCCTCTTTCTCTCACTCTTTTCTTTTCATTCACTTCATTGTTGCAGCCATGCCTGGTAGAATTTATGGCGTGCCACTCTGGTAGTGGAGGATCTGGACTGATCCCAAGTGTGTCATCCATGGAGAACTGCTGCTGGTTACTGTGTTTGTCAGGGAACATTCTCTCTTGTGTTCAACCGAGAACATTATTTTCAGATCTTTTAGTAGAGTTTTAAGCATTGGGCCTTTTTGTTGATGGAACCATAAATAATTTTGAAGGGTATGTGTATTAATTGCCAGTGCTTAGATGGCTCTTTAACTGTGTTTATATTGGATTCAACTCAAAGAGAGGTTAAGTTTTTGTTTCTGTTCATTCATGTCTTTGGAGGAGAAGAATAAACCACTGAGAAATGGAGTCATTTCCCTGATGTAGTCCATCCAGTATTTGTAAAAAGGAGGATAAGATCAATGCTTCTTTTGAAACTTGCTCTAACAAAGGGGGTCACGCTAGATATTCAAAAGCTGCTGTTTTCTGTACTTTTATTTGGTTTGGATGAAGACCTGCAGTGATAATCCATTACTAGCAGAAGTCTGTGGTGCTGTATTAGAGCTGAGGTTCTAGGTCAAAGTTGATAGCATTGGTCTGGGTTTGACTCCCAGATGAACTCATGGTCGGGTCTCTTCTGTCTCTGTTATGGAATTTCCATTTATTCAACAGCATGGCCTTTCAGTTTGAGAACAGGACTTGTGATTTCACGTTCAGATTTTTCAAAGCTTTTACTCAAAACCCCTGTGCTCACACTCAAACAGCCCTTGCATGTGCTTAAACTGTGCACTTGCACTCAGATGTTTTGTTAATTGGACCAATTTCCTGCACTCCAGCTTCACTCTCATCCTTGGTCTCACACTGCTTCTGTGCTCTTGGATTTTTTTTTCCTTTGCACTTGGATCTTTTTGTGCCACACCTCAAAATCCTCCCACCAATAGAGTGCCAGGAGTAGTGTTGTCACACCCTTGTTGTGGGTGCATTAGCGTTAGCGGTGTTTTCTACTTTCTAACTGACACACTGGTTGCCCTAAAAAAATCTAAGAGCAGAGGAGAAATCTGTGAGAAGACATGCATGGAGAAGTGTGAGCTCTAGGAGAAGAGCTGAAGCTGGAAATGTCTCCCAAAAAACTAAATATATGAGTGTAAGCTCAGAGTTTGAGCAAATCAGTTCAAATCCAAGCACAAGCAGGGGCTATTTGAGTCCAAGTGCAGGGTTTTGAGTGAAAGCATTACAACAGCTGAACATGAAATCAGTAAGACCTGCCCTCTTGAATAAAGATAGAAAAAACACATACCTTGTGGGAACCAGGCACATAAAATTTTATTGTGTGCAAGAAAGTTTGTAATTACTGTCACCCCCGCTGTCCTTGTTTGACCTCTCCATCCTTTTTGTCCACTTGTGTCTCTCTGTCCCTGGACTGATGTTATGCTGAAGGTTGCCTGGCTCTTACACAATCCTGCACTCTGTCACACTGCAGTATCCCATGGCCCGCTGACCCCCCAGGGAGAATGGCATCCCTACTTAAGCACAACTCGGTGATCTTGCCTGAGCTGATTTTTCAAAAAGCTCGGCCCTCCCTCTGCACTGCTCGCACCAGAAGCTGTGGGATGGGTCCTAATCTCTTTCTTCCTGTCGCTGAAAAGTTGTTTTCTTCCTCTGTCAACACTGCGGTTGATAGTTTAACTCCTCAAGTTGACGATGGCTTTTAGCAGCACTTCACCACACTTTGCTATCGCTGACCTTTTAACCCACGTGTTCTGGTTTCATTCCCAGGTGGCCGATAGTGGGTGTGGTCATACCCATGAGCCAGTTATTTCATCCTCTTAAAAAATTCCAGGTCTGGAGGCCACCCCAGGAATGTTCCTATTGCAGACAGAGACATTATAAGAGACCTGATATGATGTGCTGTAATAATAAAGTTCAGAGGAAGTGGGTTACTCCCTCAGCTGGTGTGTGATTTACCCAGTGATTTATCTCAGCCCACTGTTTACCAGCAGGATTGTGTGTACTCACAGAATAGGTTCGAGACTTTAAATAAAGTGTTTGTGGGTGAGAGGACGACATGAATGCGGCCTAAACATTAATTTTAAGGTTTTAAGATGTAAATTAAAATCCCACTTATCTAGACTAGCCTTTATGTAGTGATTTATATATTATTATGGTTTAATTATTTATTATTTTTATTCTATTCTATTTGGTTCACTAAACTTTTAGTATTGATTATTATTGAGCATTATTTTACTCTAACTTTATGTATTTCCTATGTATTGATTAATTTGGTACATTACTCCCTAAATCCGGATGTTGAACTCATTTTTGATACATTTTTAACCTATGTTTTGTCGATCACCCTTCAAGCACATTTGTTTGAGGGTCTTATATAGTTAAGTTTGAATGATTGTTTGAAATGTGAAGTCTTAGCGTTCTGATTGCCACCTAGTGGCTGTCTGCAGCAAGGGTAATAAAGCCTGCCTCATCCATGTTAGTGGATGGGACATGACCCAAAAAAAAAAGAAAAATCCAAGTACACACCAAATAAAATTTTCTCGAATATTGTTTCTGTCACTTTAGGCAGTTCTTATCAGGGATGTTTCTCTTAGTGCTTATCATACTGATAATTTATGCTTGAATTATTGGGATGAAACATCAGGATTGAGAGCTGAGACTGAGATTGGTTGAGCGTTGGGACCTTGCTTCCACAGCTATATTCCCAGATCACTGCTGCACAGACTCTGGCGTTAAATTATGTTTTTGGCACAAGATGGCAGCCTCTGTATCAGAAATATTTTGGCATCATTTCAGTATAGTGGGAAGAAGTGAAGATGAATTGTCCATCTTTATATACATTCTATGGATGGGACATGCAACACAGGTTCACAGCCAGAATCAAACCCCAGATGAGGAGTTAAAGTTGTGTTCGTTATGGCTATAATAGATGTAATAGCTGTATGTAAAACACAGTGGAAGACCTTTTAATGTGCTTTTCTGTGTTTCTTTAATCAAACCTGTCAGACGGTATCAATCACAGCTGTTTTTCATGTGGGATATTTCTGATGGAGACACTCTGGCAGTCGTTCCGGTTTGGGTCAGCCATTCAACAAAATGCCAAGTGTTTAAAACGACCACATTACCTCCAGATGATGTTGATGTACTTTGCTTTTCTATGCTGGCTCAGAAAATCACTTTAGTCTGCTGCCGCCCTGCTGCTCTCACTTATACATTTGTTATCATCAGTTTCTGTGGTTTCTTGTGGTTTTGCCCCTGACGTTGTTCAGAGTTCAGAGGTTTTGTTCCTTTTTATCACACATTTGCTATTTCCAGTAGCTGCTTTGTTTTTCGTCACCACTGTGAAAAGGTGGACGTGACCAGAGGTTGTCATGACAAATAGAATCAGTTTTCATCATGGATTTCCTTCACCTATTGCTGAAATCATCTGAGCGGTAGTTTTAGTCATAACTCTTGAGCTCAGGGTGCTGACACTGGTGTGTAAAAGGTGACACTGGCTGAAATATATAAAATCAACAATGAAAAAATGCTGCTGTCTTTGAAGTTTGTCTGAGAGAACCAATCTGTTGCATTTTTTAGAATGGTACATATCGTCCACACTGTTCTGGCATCTGCAGTCCAGACAAACACAGTTAATGAAAGACAGACACAGAGAAAACAAATGTTCAAAATCTATGAGTGGGAGTTGATTACTGAAATGAGTGGTTCTGTGTAACTTTTGTTCGGTGGTTTGATCCTCTTCTAAAACAAATGCATCTGCCAGTGCTGCTCTAATGAAGCTAAAGACATCAGAGAGGAGGATACAGTACAAGGCAGATATTCATTAGTGTACTGTCTGTGCCATGTATGTCCTTTTTAAATGTAGTCCTTGTAAAAGTAGAGTGGATGTAGTCACAACAAGTAATAGAGCTTCATTAATATGGATTTTTGGGAGCAGATGCTAATACCAGTATTTGGGATTTAAAAAATTAAACACCAATATACTGGCCGATATGCGTTTATATATTCAAATATATAACATATATAAAAATTCCACGATTCCTTAGATGCCGTTATCAAACCCTTATGACAAAGAAATATAATTGAGGATTGATGTTTTACAGTTAAGCCATAAACTTTATTATACAAAAGAAAACACAAATACAACCAAATATAGACAGAGCTTAACATGAAATGTAAACAAAAAAGCATCTTTTCTGCATTGTTCACTGAATGGGTCAGATCAACCAAACATATGTGGATAAATGTTAACAATGCCTAGAAATGCCCCAAAGTATTTTTGAATCAGTTTGTGTTTGACACTGAACAAATGTATTTTTACAGATTTTATGCTTTGTGATAGTTTTAGTCTGTAATGAGAAGAAAGGTATTTTTTGAGTTAGACGCTGATGTTTTGGGAGATTACTGGTAAAACGAATGGAATTTTAGATGCAAATAAATGAAGGAGCCCTTCATAGTGTAAATGTAACTCAATGGATAACGACTGTATTTGCTTGAACATTAGGTTCAAGGCAGGTCAGGACCTGCATTATACTTACCTGCAGGTAGTTTATCTCCAACATATGATATATGAGTCTGCTGTCGCAGTGTTTTGTAATTTTGGTTTCAACATGCACAGAGGTCACAGGATCACAGTGGCTTCATGTGTTCACCTGTTCGCAGCTGATTGAACGGATTTTCGTGGTGTTGTTTAACTAGTTATTGAGAGCAAATCTCAGACATCCATTTAGTTACACAGCAAGGGAGGAACCTTATTCATTACTGCTGGACTCAGTGCAGGGAACCCTGAAGCAGTTGCTGCACTACTGTTTATCTGTTTATTCAAAGTTCGGTAAAGTTCAACATGCAGTACGCAAAACCCCGAAGTAGAGAATCCGTTGTCGTGATTTAAAAAATCTCTTACTTGGATTAGTCTCAGGCACTGATGCTACAGAGCTCTGGCAGACGGTTATTTCAAGTTTATTGATAATGAACATCAGCATTTCCCAAAGAATGAATTCTATCTATGGCACTAACAGGGTTGCAAACGTACAAAGGTCACTCCAAGTGATGCAGAGTTAAGAGTGAAAGATAAGTTCTTGTGTGTGAGAGAACTGCAGTGCAAAACATTAGGGACCAAAGCACGAGCATGCAGTAGTGCAACAACACAAGAGAGAATGTGGAAAACTATGCCGCACACACATCACGGTCGAGATATTGTTATGAGAAATTTTTAAAAAAATTGGTTCATTCTGAAACTGTGGCGGGACGAATTAGAATATGAAACACTGAACATATAATACAAATTGGTGTACAAATTGCACCAAATCACCATCAGACACTGCACTTCCTTGGGCCCTTAACAATACACATGCCAAGGGTGAGGCAGATAAGATAAATAGTTCTGGAGATACTGTTCCACATAGACAGACTGACAAAGATTTCTGGAATTGTCAAATTGGTTATTTACTGAGTCGCTCCTTTGCCAACACTCACTGGCCCTGAAACTGTAACATGCAAACTGAACTGAGACCCGAGGCAGCGTTGTGAAGCATGGTATAATAAAAGATACTTCACCTGGTTGTCAGACAGACCTTTGGAACGGCAAAGAGATGAGACAGGCGGGCAGGATATCAAAGATGTAAGGTGGGTCCGAACAGGTTGAGACAGGAACAATAGCTGCAGAACTCTCAGGCAACATAGACGACCTGGCAAATAACAGGGCTGAGGAGCAAATGACTAATAGGATTCAGCTGAACAGGAAAGTGACAAGATCAGATAACCAGTAGAGACAGTAAATTCAGTGAGGATGATTAATTATAGAGACGGCAGTGTTTCATCAAACAAATATATGGAACTGCAGACACAAGGGAAGAAGGAGCAGGAAGTCATAGGCCCTTTAAACTCTATACTTTAAATGTTAATTCGCAGTACTTCATTTACTTATTAATGACTGGGTTTTGATATTAACAGAACATTTTGATAAAAAGGTATATCTGCCCTTTTTGTACCCAGGTAATGAAGATGTGGAGCCGTGTTTTCACTGTGACGTTGTTGCTGTCCTTCATGAAACAGGCAGATGCTCAGGGTAAAAAAATCAATGTCTTCCTAACTACTAAATCCACCACTGCAGTATATCTCCTCATGTGTTTGTGTGTCTGTTTTTTTGTTCATGTCTTCTCTCCATCACTTCAATTTGCAGGCAGGTGTAGTAATGTGCAAGCAGCAGACATTGTCTTCCTGGTGGACGGGTCCTCCAGTATTGGCCGAGCTAACTTCCTGCAGGTGAAGGGCTTCATGGCCGGAATCATCAAACCGTTTGCCGGGTCCGTCAGCGAGTCAGGGATACGATTCGGGGCCATACAGTACAGTGACACCTCCAGGTGATTGACATATGAACATTAACTGCATTACTCAGACATTAGCAGAGGATCTTGTTGTATTTATTAGAGCTCAACCTATAGGGTGTTTTGGGGGCCGTTGCCAACTTGTGGGAATAAATTGGTATAACCAAATTGCGGTTATTCCTAAAATGTCGTAAGAAATGTAATTGAGGCTTGATATTTTGAGTCATAAACTATATAATGAATACACTATAAATAAAAGAAAACACAAATACAGTCACATGGAAAAATAAACAAATGCACATTATTTCATCATTCTTGTTTTTAAATAAAAGTTTTCATATTGATGCTTGAACACTGATATCGATGGGACTGTTAAGGGCTCATATCGGCCGATACTTATCAGCCAACCAATCAGTTGATTGAATACTACTCTAGTATTTATATGCATTTCTCTTCCTCCAGGGTTGAATTCACCTTCTCTACCTACCTGAATGGCACCGATCTGGTCAATGCTGTTCAAAACCTGAACTATAAAGGTGGAAACACACGCACTGGTGCTGGTCTCAAGTTTGTCGCTGATAACTTCTTTAACCCTTCGTCCAGTCGGGATGTCTCAAAGGTTTGAGCAGCCACTATTCTATCAGGTTTCATTATAAGATAACATGTATATTTAATGTTGAAGTTGTTTTTTAAAATTCTGCCTGTGTGTGTCACTTCTTTCAGATCACAATCCTGATCACAGATGGAAAGTCACAGGACAGCGTGGAAGAGCCGGCACAGAAGCTGCGCAGCCAAGGAGTGCATGTTTTTGCAGTTGGTAGATGTCTCCTCTGCTCTGTTTACTCTTTTTCTCATAGTGGCTGGACATTCTTTAACACCTGCTTATGAACCACTGAGCTTTTGTTCACTTTGCCAACTCTCTGTGTTTGTTAGGCATAAAGAGTGCAGACAGGAACGAGCTGGCTCAGATCTCCTCTCAGCCCAGCAGTGATTTCACCTCCTTCGTTGGTGACTTCAAACTGCTCAACACTCTTCTTCCTCTTGTGAGCCCCAGAGTGTGTTCCAAAGCAGGAGGCGTCTACGCCAGTGATGGTACCTTAAATACCACAGTTTAACATCTGCGTACTAAAATTCACACAGTCGCAAATATGTGTAAACCTGCATCTAATTTTATCCATGTCTCACCTTGCTTCCCCTCTCTTCTCGTCATCTATTCTCCTCTCTTTTCCTCTCCTCTTCTCTTCCTATTCCTCTCCCTCTCCTTGTCTCCACCCCTCCTCTCCTGTCAGAGGCGTTCTCTGGTCCGTCCAACATTCAGTTTACTGGGCAGACGACCGATTCTCTCAGGTTTCGTTGGACTCCTGCCGAGGGGCCTGTGAGTGGCTATGTCGTCCAGTACGTGCCGCTCTCCGGCCTGGGTCAGCCTATCACAGCAGATTTGCATCAGGTGAGACCCAGTGTTGAAGGATATAGTGTTGACATATGAAACTGAGCAGCAACCGGTCACGTAACTCAGTCTATTAGGTAATTGCAGTTTGTTGAGCCAAAGTCAGCTTTTCTCTGCGAGAGACGCACATGCCTTCAGGCTGAGTATAAACATGTCTAATGGGTGGATCTTCTTCATGTAGGTGCTGTAGAGATTAAGGTTTGGCAGAGCAAAGAAATCCCCCTCTGTGTACTCCAGCAGACATGATAAAGATAGAGGAATGTCAAGGGCTCAACGCCTCAACCATCTATTTCAGTCATTTACTTTGCAAAAACTTGTTTGAGGAGAGAACGTTTAAAAAGATGAGCCACTTTTGACCTGCAGGAGACTGTCTCCATCAATCAGAGGACGTTCACTGCACGAGAGCTGAGGTCGGGGACAGACTACCTGGTGACCATCATAGCCCAATACCCCAACAGTGTGGGAGAGTCTGTGTCTGCCAAGCAACGAACCAGTGAGTAACTAGAATGGCACTCACCTCTGCCAAGCCCCAACAGTCCCCTTAAATTCAATGAAGCTGCACCACATTGCACACACTCATAGATATCAGTTCTCTTAATACGGCAGATCTTTTTTTTTTAATCAAGATCCATGAATTATTCTCAGTGAAAATGTTGAAAAACACCTCGGGTCCATCCCCGAATCTGGATCTGCACCAATCTCTCTCACACAACACAGAATCAGTAATTTAATTTTTTTCACACAGGGTCTTTGCCGGGCATCTCCAGTCTACAACTAATCCAGGCGGGCTACTTCTCTCTTACGGTGGGCTGGGATCAACCATCATCACCTGTCCAGGGCTACAGACTCACCTATGGACTACGAGGTCAGGCACACACACTCAAACTCACACTCTCTCACACACACACACACTCACACTCACACACACACTCACACTCTCTCACACAAACACACACACACACACCCCTGTTTCTATTGCCTGTCCCTCTCCCCATCTCTTTATGTCTTACGTGTGTTTCAGTTTTCAGGATGTCAGTGAAATATCCTCGTTACATGCAAATCATTATCTTGTCCTAAAAACAAACTTGGCAGAGTGAAGGGTTGCTGTAAATATAAAGGAGGAGAAGAAGCTACAGTAGAGAATGAAAACAGTTAACCTGTTAGTGGCAAGTTGGAAACATGTTGAGAATGTACATCAGGCAAAGCTAAGGAACGCTCGCTACTCTCACACCTTAAACCCCTCAGGCCCGAGCTGTCAGTTAAGGATTTTTATTGCCTGCCCATTACTTAAGATATCAAATAACATTTTATCACCGCCGGTCCTGAAAAATTATACAGACAGAGAACACCTTTACTTATGTCACCTTTCATGTTTTTAATTTTGTCCTTGCATTTCCAGACACAGGGCGTGGCGCAAATTGCAACAGTGTCAGACGTCTTGGTGCTCACGCTGTGATTCAGGGCAGGAAAGTTTCCCCCGAGGGTCGATATATTTGAAAGAGTTTCTCCTGCCGAACATGTGGCAGGAGTGCCAGTCTCACGTGGAGTTTAGGCAGGTGAATGTGTAAGAGTGTTCAAATGAGGTCAGTGTGGATCCTGTAACCAGGGGTGTGATGTTTCTGCCTGTGTGCACCTTTGGCACTGAGAGATGGATACTGACAGCTACCCAAGCACATACAGGACATGCACACAACACAGACGCAGCGTCTCTCGGAGAGCTCAGGATGCATCGAGCTCATTCCATTAAAGGCATTAAATATTATAATACATGCACTTTGAGGTCAGGGACAGACACGTCCAGATTTGCATATCATATTGCTGTTCATGCACTAATTCTTTGTCCTGTTGGTTGTGTGGTTGGAAAAGCAGGTCAGCCAGCAGCTCAGCTACTGTCGCAGTCTCTGTCCGGCGAATCCACGTCCGTCACCTTGGAGTCGCTTCAGCCCGACACAGAGTACGTCGTCAATCTCTACCCCCTGTTCCCCCGAAATACTGCTTCCCCGTCCACCCTCAACGCCCGCACACGTGAGTCTGTCCTGTGGCTGGTTTAAAAACAAGTCGACACAATATTAAAGCTACAAAGTGGAGAATTTGTGTATTTGTGGTTTGGATTGGGTTTCAGTGTAATTAGCTGATATTCTAAGTGCATGTGTTTGTGTTAATTTCTTCAGTGCGCCTCGAGGCAGTGAAGCAGTTATCAGTGGAGACGGAGTCAGAGGGCAGTGTGCTTTTGAGGTGGAGAGGCGTCATTGGTGCTCGGGCCTACCGTCTGGTCTGGGGACCGTTTACAGGTCAGGACAATGCTAACGCCATCAAACACATCAACATCTCTCACTTCAGCCTTTTTTTTTTTTTTCCTCCAATTTTGTGTTAATACAATACTTTTATATTTCTGTTCTAAGGTCGAATTGTTGAGACTGTGGAGGTCGCTGGCGACAGGGAGTTCCACACTTTGTCTAGACTGCAGCCCGACACCGAGTACATCGTCACCATCATCCCACTGTATGAGGGCAACACAGAGGGCCCTGTCGCCACCGCCAGGTTCAAGATAGGTATGTGTTCGTCCAACAAACATCTCTCTCTGCTCATATCGTATCGCATCGTCTTCCCTCTCAGAAGTCACACCAAAACAATAAACCAAATTACATACAAAATTTGTGTCCCTTTGTGGAAGCAGACAGGAACACAATGCAGATGTACGGAGAGGATGGCCAACAATCATCCCTGCTGTTTGTCTCTCCTCTGACGAACCAACACATGTTTCTTAAGGAACATTTCTAGTGCACCTATACACACACAAACACACACAAACACACACAAACACACACCATCTGTGTGTCATGAGTAATACCCATATGGTGTCACTTCAGTGGGATCAATGTGACTTGAATGAAGACTGAGTCACTGCACAGGAGTGGAGGAGTCCAGACTTCAGAGGGATACATGAGATGTCTTCTATCTTCTACATGTTGTTCACCACAGTAACCTAAACTCTGAGCCTGCTGCTCTGGTGTTTGTTCCTGTGTAAACCAACAGAGGTTTGTTGTGTCTGTGGTTCATGATTTACATCTTTACTTCCTTCTCATTACGATTTTTAATTTTTATTTGCTACGAGTCTGGACCATATTGAATCATGTTTATTTACGATTCCAATACACTGTAACATTTAGTCAAATATAATGTCCAAACCAATTTAATCATAGTTCATGTCCAGATGTTTTATCAATGGACTTTGGTTTGTCCTTTTCCAACAGCTTTGGTGGCTTTACTTAGCGCACAATAACCAAAATAATGTAATATGAATTAAACTATATCTATCACTATATTTATTACTAGAGAGGTTCAGGTGCAATTTTCCTATCCTGATACCGATTCCGACTCGTGGACATTTGCGCATTAGCCATACCAAGTACCCATTCCATACCAGTGCTTTTGAAAAATAGCATCTTAACCAACATATTTTGAACAGCTGTTTGCTACTAACCCTGTATGGAAGTCATGACTGCTATCATTGTTTTATGACCTGTCTCAGGTAAAACCCTTCGAAAAACATAAAAATAGGGAAAATCAATAACATAGAACCTCATAGCTGAAAAAGAACAAATTAATAAACCTACAAATAATTACTCCCTTCAGATAGCTCAATACTGAAGTCTTGCATGTGGTACACGTTGCCCTTTTACTTGTGGGATTATCCAGCATGAAATATCACCAAATTACTACAATAACATTTCAACCTTTCTAACCGGAAATCACTTTTTCTTCGCCGCTTTAAATATAATACTCAGCAGCTGCAGTACGGTGCCATTGCAGTTGGTGAAGCTTAAAAAGACTAAATAAGAGGGTGAATATTATTGAGGACTGTGGAGAGTGAAGCATGTCACATCATGAGAGCAGTACAGTGTGAGTTGATTCCCTGAACTAGCTCGCTAGCATCTCTCCGTTACAGAGAAGGTGTTTGTCTCGTACACTTGAGTGGCAGTCTGAGGGCGGAGGTGTGATACTGTGTTTGATATTTTTTAACTGTCAGCGATAGTTATGTATGATTTCACAACAGAAATGTGAACCCTGCAAGATAAGATATGAGTTTTCGGCCTGGATATGTGCATGGTGTGTATGCCAATAGGTGTAAATATTTGATCTGGCTGTTGTACAAATGAGTTGTTAGTTGTGTGTTCGGAAGGATTTCACAGTGACGTGCGTGTTTATGATCACTCGCTTTGTTTAGTTGTTGATGTTTCTCTGCACATCTGAGCCTCTGTTCCAAAGGCAATGAGACAATGGCTGTGACCCTCTGTCATTATTTTCCCATCAGTCTTTGGCGTAAGACATGATGATAAGGAAACATTTTCATCGTAAACTTCGAGTAATAGTGATTTAATTAAGTTATGTGTTGGTTTTGTTGACTCCAGCATTTTATTTAACATTTTCAAGTTGTTGATTTGCTCCAAATAAATGAGTTCTATATGTTGCTGTTTGAGTTCTGGTTTGATGGGAAGGTATGTCGTATTTCTTAATCTAAACTAGCTGGGTAGAACTTAATACATTTATAAAGTGGTTATTTTTCAAATTTAAGGGCTTTTCAGTGTCTAACTCAAAGTGTGTGCATTTGTGCAGGCTTGAGTCCCCCTGCAGAGGCTGCAGTGTCTGCTCTGACCTGATCCTTGTCTTAGCTGTGTGTCTTCCCCCATTCTCATTCATTTCACACTTCCACTGTGCTCTCAATAAGGGCACAAAAATATTTTTAAGAAGATAATCTCACTTTGTTTAACAAATCCTTTGCAATGGTTCCGAAGTACAAAGGCTGTAAATCTGTAGGATACCTACTTCATCCGACATCTCAACTGAAGCCTCTTGTTAAATTTCATCAGAACTTTCACGTGTTTGGATTTGGTAACTTACAGTGAAATCACATTAGGAACGGATCTCTTAGTGACCTTTAACACTTTCAATGCACGTGTAACCGGTGCTGTAATATTTGTATTGAAGGATTGATGAGAACAGGGCTTTACCTATGACATGACATATTACACAACTACTACATGTTTCAAAACATGTGTTTTCCCCAGAGCGTCAGGAGCAGCAGATCCTCAGAGCAGCCACCTCCAGCCCCTCCACTATCCGCCTCACGTGGAGGATCATTCAGTCGTCTCAAGGGTATCGTCTGGAGTGGAAAGAGGGAGAAGGTCTGATGTCACACACGCACAAAATGAATATGATTACACTGCCTTTTTGAGCAGTGACCATTTGCTATGAAATCATTATTTTAACACCATGTAATATATATATATATATATATATATATATATATATATATATATATATATATATATATATATATGTATATATATGTAAACCCGTTGATGTTGGATTTCCCCTCTGTCTGCAGGAGGACGTGTCCAGAGCCTGTCGTTTCCCAGAAGCACCACCAGCTATGAGTTGACTGGCCTCCAACCCAACACAGAGTACATCATCACCCTGTACACGCTGTTTGAAGGCCGAGAAGAGGCCACACCTGTCTCCACCACGTCCAGAGGTCAGACATTTAGCCAGGGGGTGCTCTAAACTCTGAATTCATTTTAAATTATTTATAGGTCATAGATGTGCTGTGGTTGGATTCCCTGCAGATATGTTTTCATATAGATCTCTATGTTTAAATGTTTCTTTATCCTTGTATCCATTTTTCACGAGTGTCAATCCCCTCTGGTGTTTCAGAGGAGCAGCCTGTGGGGAGAGTATCCAACCTGAGAGTGGTGGAGTCTCTGGGCAGCACAGTCAGACTTGGATGGACAGGAGTAGCCGGGGCCACACAGTACCGCATCATCATCCTCAACACAGAAGGTACAGTAACTGATTTTAGTCATGATTTTATTATCCATTCTGATTTGTTTTTATTGCTCAATTATGAGTAGAACAACTGTGGATGTGACATCTGCTTGTGCTTGATGTCATGTCAGCGGGAACAGAAGAAATCCAGACAATCCGTGGAAACCAAACGACCCTTGACCTCAGAGACCTGACAGTGGGCGTGTCCTATGGCATCAGTGTCACGGCTCTGGTGGGAGAAAATGAAGGAGACCCAGTTACTGTCTACATCAAACCAGGTGAGTCGAGCAGGGACATGTCCTGACAATCTTCTGCTGTGTGGTGAGCACAACATTTCTTGTTCCTGTGTATGTATCTGTCAGTTGCAGGACCTGGAAGCTTAAACGCTATTAAACATATGATATGTTTTATTGAATATTCTTTAGTGTTACCTGTGGATCTCTTAGTGAAGCAAACACTGTAAAAAACACTTGTCTAAATATCTGGAATTCACTTTGGGATATTACAAAAATACATTGTAATTTAAAGAGAAAAAGTCATGATACTTTGAGGTAAAGAAATAGGAAATGATCAGCGAGGAGAATTTATTTTAATAAGTGATACCAATGTTAATGTGGTGCTGATGAGCCAAAAGATTAAGTATTTCATTATATGTGAGACCTACAGTCTATAAGTATAACTGAACAAGATCCTCCACAATACCCATTTAAATGCTGGCAACTAGCTGCTCTGACATTACCCCTCTGAAATGACACGTAGTATAACATTCCAACATTATTTTTTGAATATTCCGACTTTATTCTCATAATATTATGACTTAATTCTCTTTTGTTCTGTTTTGCTCAATTGTTCTGGCTTTTCAGTGACCGAATTACTCCATCATAAGAGACATAGGCTCTATTCTTGCTGTCATCAAAAGTTTTAAGCATGAAAGTTTAGTTACATGAGGCTTTGTATTCTCTTTGTTTCAGAGCAAAGTGCAGGCAGAGTGACAAACCTCAGAGTGATAAACGCAAACAGTCGGAGACTTCGAATTGCCTGGACAGGCGTCACCGAGGCAACTGGGTACAGGGTTACATGGAGACAAGGAAACAGTAAGTTTAATGAGTTTTAATAATTTTATGAGTTTATGAGTTTTGAATGGTTTATTTGTCTTAGACATCTTGTACATTAAAATTTACTGATCCCTTAAAAAAAATATAGCAGCTGAAGTTTGATCTCTACCTCTACCTTCTGGCGTGTAGTCAGTTTTTCATGTGCGTGATATTCTCTTGTTTTAACACAGCAGGTGCTGAGCAGTCCCGTGTTCTGGGGCCAGAAGCTACGGCCTTCACGATAGACGGCCTGCAGCCAGATGAGGGGCTGGTCATCGGCGTTGCAGCTGTTGTCAATGAGCGCGTTGGAGAGGTGGTCACTATGTCTGCTCGCACTAATCCCAACGGCGGAACAGTGTCGGGGCTTCGCATCGTCGATGTCACATCTCAGAGGATCCGCATCACATGGTCACTTTCCACCAGGGCAACTGGCTATAAGATCACCTGGCGCAGTGATAGTGGTAAATATTAAGATACATGGCATTTTATAGACATGAGATAAATACATGATAACAGGGCAATATGATGAAAAGACTGAAGTATCTGTAGATAAAGAATCTTAATATTCGTCTCTCTGCCATGTTTCTCTTGGTTTAGGTGTTGAAACGTCTCGTAACTTGGCGGCCAACGTCTCTTCCTTCACCATTGATGGACTACAAGCAGACGCAGCCTACAGCGTGCAGGTTTCTGCACTGAGTGGCTCTCGAGAGGGAAGCCCCACCACCCTGAACATCAGAACAGGTACCACTCTGAATCTAATTGTCTCTGTCTGTCATAGTGTCCTCTGGAGAAACTTGACAATAAGTAGAGGAATGTGATGCTCAGCATGTGTTCTCTCCTGATTGGCAGAATCAGATCAGTCCGTAGTCGGGACTGTGACGTCACTGCAAGTCCAGGAGGCCCGAGGAGAGGTTGTCCGAGTCTCTTGGGTTGGTGTGCAGGGAGCGACGGCTTATCGTGTTTCATGGAGGAAAACAGATGGTGGGTCTATTGTAGTCTTTCTTTGTTTCATACATCTTATGGGAGAATTTATTTTTAGCACTCCTTCTGTATGACATGAAGCAACTGGAATGGCACTCGTAGAGTGCATAGCTCAGCTAAGGCCACCCATGAAGCCACATTTAAATTCACGAGATCCAGATTTTTATTTGGATCTGCACCAAATTGCCCACACTCATTGATATGTGTACCAAACATGTCTGATTATTTTCTTCAAGATCCATGAGTTGTTCTCAGAGAAATTAAAGAAATGTAAAAAACCACCCTCTCTCAAAATTGAAAAAAAAAAACTTGATCTGCTCCCGGATCAGGGGGCGGATCCACAGATCTTTCCTGTCCCATGGCACATCCTTCCACCAAATATGGTGGTAATCTGTCCAGTAGTTTTTCATAATCCTGCTGACAACAAATCCGATGAGGAAAATGTACCTCTTTGTCAGAGGTAATAAAAGAGTTTTTTGGATATGGATGTTTTGTGGCAGCCAGTCACACTACTCACTAACCCTCGCCCTCTGCTGCTGCAGGTGGTGAAGGACGGAGTCAGCTGGTTGGCGGAGATGTGACAGCGGTGGATTTAGACCGGCTGGATCCTGGAGCTCAGTACGAGGTGCAGGTCATGGCTCTGGTTGAGAACAGAGAGGGAACTCCTGTGTCTGTGAGAGTCACCACGCGTGAGTCCTGTCTTCACAATTTTCAAACAGTACTAAAGTTCCCACGAGTCGAACACGTGTAGATCAGAGAAAATATCGTCCTGAAGTCTTCATTGAAGTAATAGATATATTTAAAAGAACTATTACATGATAAAAAACGTTTATTTTAAAGTCACTGAAAAGCCTTTGTAATGGAGCATGACAATACTCTATGTTGTTTGTATGTATGAATTTAAATGTACAAATCACTGTATGTTTGTTAATTCTCTGTATCTACAGCCGGCACCTCTCTACCTACTACAACTTTACGTGTGGCTGAGGTGACTCAGAGTTCTGTGCGGTTAGACTGGATACCTCTACGTGAAGCAACAGGATATATTATACGCTGGAAAGATGACACAGGTAAAAGATGGAAATATGTTATTTGCTTTAGACTCTTATATTTCTGTTCTGCAGCCATTTTATCTGTTGACATTTCTCAGATACCGGTCGAGGCTTGTCTGTTCCGCTGCCCGCTTCGTCGAGCGCGTACCAGGTGACTGGGCTGCGTTTGGGCCATCAATATCGCTTCAGCGTGCAGCCCACCTTCGAGAGTGGACTGGGAACAGAGAGATCTGTAGATGAACACACTGGTAACACACCCACAGATACATATTAATATACCTGACCTTATGACCTCACCTCACTTCACTACACAAACTTCTCTGTCGACAGTGTGTGTGGGCGGGCGTCTGGATGTGGTGTTTGTGGTTCCGGCATCCACCGATCGGATCAGCCTTGCGAGACCTTTGCGTGAACTCCTCACCAGCGCAGTGAGGTCACTCAACACCATCGGCGCTCGAGACTCACAGGTAATCATCTTGACAAATAGGTTTCAGGGCACGGTGGGTCAGAGGTTATGGTGAATTTATTGTTTGTCCGTCCCTTATTCAGGTTGGAGTTGTAGTTTACGGTTACAGACCCAAAATATGGTTCCTACTTAATCGTCATGGAAGATCTGACACGCTGCTTCAAGAGATCCATGCCACACCCTTCGATGAAAGTCCGGGGAATAACATTGGTCAGTTTTTTGTTCATCCTCTGATAATAATAAAAATATCTTATTTTCTTGTCCTGGTCATGATGTGAGTGTTGGCAGTTGTGATATTGTCTCGTCCTCCTCTGCAGGAGAAGCGGTGACCTTCACCAGACAGTACCTGCTGACTCCTTCATCTGGACGCAGGCCGAGGGTCCCCGGTGCTGTTGTCATCATTGCAGACAAGAGATCAGCTGACAACCTCACTTTGGCTGCCAGCAGTCTCAGAGCTTTAGGTGGGAAGGCGCACTCTAATCAATCCAGTCTGAACCTTTGCTGAATGTAGCTACCCGTACTAACCAATTTGCTTTCAAGATTTAAACTCCAGAAGTATGTGTGCATCGATTAAAAACAGGTCTAAAGTCATACACCCTTTTGGGAATATAAACAAGCTGAAAAAACGTGGAAACATGGATGATAAAATGCAGTCCCTCTGTCTGTCTGCTAGGTGTCACTGTGTTAGCGGTGGGTATTGACCAGGCGGATATCGAGGAGCTACGTCGCACCGTGACGGACGGCAGCACCCAGAACATCCTGTATGCCCGTGATGCAGCACAGCTGGGGTCTCAGCAGAGCGATCTGTCCGACTTACTCTGTGGAATTGCCAGAATACCAGAGGTGAGTAGAAACATAAAAAATGCACATGTTCAGTTTATAATCTCATTGGAGATGGGCTTGGTTTTATCAGTTTACTGTGACCAAGACACAAAAGTGTGACTCTCAAACAGGAGAAGCAGTACAGATAATGGGTGGATGTATGACAAAAAACTTTTTTTTATTCAGAGGACAAAAGTGGAGCTCACTGCTTAATTCAAAGCTTTGTGAATATTAACAATTTCTATTCTGCTCTGTCTTCATCAGAGAGACTCTGATTGTTTTATTAAATTTTGATATGAATAAATGTTTATATGGTTCTTTATTATTGAGATTGAAGGAATCCTCTCTATCCTTGTGTTGTTAGGGTACACCAGGTACAGAGCAGTGCACTGTTCAGTGCCCTCGGGTGAGTTATTCTCTATCTGCATTTTCAAACTTAACCTTTTCTTCCTGTGATTTCTAAACAAATTTCATCTTTACTATTTCTTTAAGGGGGAGAAAGGAGATCGCGGTGAGAGGGTACGATGAAGACGTTGCTCTTTTCTTTTTCTTCCACTTCTCTTGTAATTTGTATTTTCAGCTGTTAAGGTGGCACTTTTTTTTCACCACAGGGTGAGAGAGGCAGAGATGGTACTGATGGACGCAAGGGAGAGTCTGTGAGTCATTCGTTAACACCGACCAGGATGATTTTATCTGGCATTACAGCAACACACTGATATTTTCAATTAATTAATGTGTCCACTTATGTGTGTGTGAGATTTAGGGTCGTGATGGTTTGGCTGGAAGGGACGGCCCCAGAGGCCCTGAGGGACGTCCAGGTCCACCAGGCCAATCTCTTGATCCCTCTGGGGGGGTGAAAGGAGAAAAGGGGGAGAGAGTGAGTGCAGCTGAGGCCGAAGCAACAACATCACCAGAACTTATCCAGATAGAAAAATGTAACATTTTTTTGGTGTTCAGGGTTTTCCTGGCATTGATGGAAATCCAGGGTTGCCGGGACGACCAGGTGCCCCTGGAAATGCAGGGGTCCCGGTGAGTAGAGGAACAGAAACTTACAACTTACAACTATAACTCAGGACGTGTTCATGTTGTATGCATAATTTTCTTAAATACTGTTTATAATTCCCCCTGCAGGGCTCACAGGGCCTACCTGGTATCACAGGAACTCCAGTGAGTAACGCTTCTCCTCACCCAACCTTCACATATGTATATTAATCTCTTAATACTCCTCCTTTTTTCTTTCTTTTTTTTTATCTTACAGGGTGAACGAGGTACGACAGGGCCTCAAGGGCCACAGGGCGGTAAAGGTGAAAGGGTGAGCTGAGATATTACCTCTTATACATTTCACGATGAGTTGGTCTGTGCTTGTTTGAAAGAGGCAACAGGACAAAGTGATGTTGACGGTTCTTTGCTGATTCTTCAGGGAGAGCCAGGCTCTGCTATATCCGGAGGGGGTCTGCCCGGGAGGAAAGGAGAACCAGGCATCCCAGGGATACCGGTAAGAGACTAACACAAGATGATCTTAAACAACCATGAGACACATCACATCATCACTGATCTGCATTTGCTTTATATGGTTATTATGTACCATATAAATACGACAGTGGGCCTAATGCACACAGACCCTCTACACTTCAGCCTTTATTTCCATATACTCACCAGTATTTGTGTTTTTTTTATTAAGGGTACTCCAGGTCGGCCAGGCAGCGACGGGGTCAAAGGGGCAGCTGGCATTCCAGGGTCACCAGGTCAGGATGGTCGTCCAGGGATACCAGGTACACCTGGACTCTCCATCAAGGTTTGTCTTCTCGACAGCTTTACTGCAACTCACTCAATTTATTTAGTTATGCAGAAATTTAAAAGATATCGACATCAGATCTGGAATAATTTCTGATGTGAATTCAAAACATTTAATTAAAGGGTTAAAAAATCTCAAAACTTTATTCTATGAGGTACAAATTTTACCATGTGTAGGTCACTTAATTGAAAAATGCAGCTCTCCTCTAAACTGCAGTGACCAGTTTCTTATCCAAGTGACGTTAGATCCATTGCTTTGTTCACTGGTATTGTGTAAAGACGGCAGGGTTGGTAAACATGACTTTGCGTTTTTTCCTGTTATAATGTCTTGCTATATAATGGAAATAGAATTTTAAATCACTGAGAAGTTCCCTTGCTGTCATTTGGTGCTGAAACGTCCCCTAAAATACAAAGGCTCTTCTTATGAGCTGCTTATACAAGAACATATTTTACAGCTGCAAAGACATTGAAATTTTTTTTTAAGAATTAGAGACACAATATGCTCACTCAATGCTGTCCATTACGATTTCCCTATGCCACAAAATAAATGTGTGTGAAACCTTCCTGCAAGTTTCTCGAGACGTTTTAAAAACCTTGGTGAAATGTCCTCTTGGTTCCATCCACTGCTCCCAGTTGTTGTTGTCAGACTCACACACATGGTGGCAGTATTGAGCCACTTACATATTTCTTGAGTGGAGGCTCATGCATGATTTGAAAAGGGATTCTTGTTCCTCAGAATGATTTTGAGGGTGTGATTATAATCTTATTATTGATTCTCTTTTTTTTTCAAATTATAATTTCCAAGTAGTCCTTCTAGATATCAGTTTCTTATTGTTTAGAAAGAAAACATTTCACTTCTGTGGATCAAAAAGAATGATCAAGTCACTTGTTTTTTATTAATGATTAATCATTTCTATAATTGAGTTGTCTTCCTGTTACTGTGATATAAGTTTTCCACTTTTTTGAGATACGTGGAACAGACGATAGGTGGTTTTTTTGTGTATTTATCTGTACACATGCAGCACATTCATCTCTGGGTCTGTTATCATAGGGGAACTTTAACAACATAACAACAGTGTTCAGCATCCCCTCATTCTCCCCGTCTGCATTTTTGTTTCTGCAGGGAGACAAGGGCGGCACAGGAGAGCGGGTGAGTCACACTATCACCAGCTTGCCCTCTCCAGCAGAAATATCTAGAGCAAGCAAATATCCTTGGCAGCATAATGACTCTCAGCTCTTATCTCCCTTGGCTCACAGGGACCTCCAGGAGTAGGCAGCGGGGTGGCCGTGAAGGGCGAGAAGGGCTCCCTAGTAAGCGCTGTCAATCACTGGTGATGTGCTGACGTGGAGTTTGCAGATGAACCCTGCGTGTACACGTGGGGGGAGTATTTTGCATTCGCTAATTGCATTTCTTACTATCAGGGCACTGCAGGATCTCCAGGGGCTCAGGGTCGTATAGGGCCAACGGGACCACAGGGCAGCAAAGGAGACAAGGTAGCTGCAGATTGATTCAGTGTACGAGTGACTGAGCACATGCAGTCTTTATCTCAGACAAATGGCCTGTCCTGTTTTTTTTCAGGGTGACAGTGCTGATGGGCTGCCTGGGCCTCCAGGCAGGCAAGGAGAGCCTGGGGACAGGGTAGGTCAGACTCTGAATAATCCAGTTTATCAGAATGTAAATACATTGACTCTGCCAGACTGAGCAAGAACTAGAAATGTTCACTGTTATTTATTTTATTCTTACTTTAATATTGTATATTTAATTTTGTATGTTTTTATTCTAGTGCCTATATTATCTTTTTATTTTTATTGCTCTGTCTTTTTATTTAATCTATTTTTTCTTACAGAACGTAACTTTTTTATGGAGCTTCCCAGGAAAAGCTTTTCACATGACTGTACTTGTATAACTGGTGTGACAATAACATCTTGAGTCATAAATCAAAACAATCTGATAAGCACTGATAAGACGCACCTCTGATAAAGCTGCTTAATCCTCTAGCTTTGTTATTGTATTTTTTTTATCTTTACCTGGATCTAGATCTGTATCATCACAACTTTACTGCTTTTATAGAATAACAAATGGAGTTGGTCTACCAGCATTTGTATTGTGGTCATTGAGTTCATCATAATATTGTAGTGCTCATAGTTGCAGTTTATTTGTGCACATACCGTATCAATATAGAGTAGATTAGAATAGAATAAACAGCCGTACAATTAAATTAGAAGTGCTACAGCTTAACAGTGTAACGGAACAAAACAATATTACATATTATGCACTTAAAATATATCACTGCAATGTGACTCAGTGGAAAGTTATAACAATGGGCTTCATAAAAATTCCAAAATAGATTTACAAAACAGGAACTACTTATCAAGGTCATGTTCTTAAGTTTTACATGATAATTGGTAAATATTTAACACAATTTGTGTTCTATGATGATGTATATATTAGCTCACGGTATAAAATGTGGTTCTGTCCCTGATAACTCTCAGGTTGTGAACTTATAAAGGACTTTGTAAAAGGCCACATGGTGACGCTATCCACTATTAAAATGAATCAGCCCTGTCTGGAAACTCTCCAAACTAACAGCCAAGCTCATAATTAAACAGATCTAAAAAATATGATCTTCTCATGAGAGTTGATGAGTTTATGTTTAAAGATGTTGCTTGTGTCTCTCAGGGTCCCCGCGGGCCTCCAGGAGAGATTGGCGGCAAGGTAAGATAAAGGTAAGAAAGACACTCCTGTTGTGTGTGGACAGAAGAATGACCTCTGTCACTGTCTGCTCTGGACAGGGGGACCGGGGACAGCCAGGAGAGCCGGGATCACAGGGAGACAGGGTGAGTCACACGATCTGAGAGAGAAACAGTCGAGTTTGGGCGTGTGGGTGTGTGTGGGTGTGTGMGTGTGTGTGGGTGTGTGCGTGTGTGTTCGGGTTTATCAGAGGAAAAGGGGGAAAAATGTGATTTCTTGAAATATGAAAAGGTTTAAATGCAACATCAACTATCTCTGTGCACGTCAGGTGTGAGTCTCATCAAGCCTGAAAAGGTCTGAAAAGTTCATGGAGAAAATGTTGGCAAGAAAAGGGAGGAGAGGCAGCAGACTGTCATTTCACTTCAGTCCAATAAAAATATATTGCTGTGAACTTGTTTGTACCTGAACAGAGAACAGCTGCTTTAATGTCGATTCCAGGGACTTATTATACCAATCTTGATTCTTTCTCTTCATCTTTTCTTTAAATCAATGAGACAAATCTCTGCTAGCTCATGTTCATAGTTGAGAGTAGGTGAAAATGAGACAGCTGCAATAACCTCGCTTAGATTACAACAAAACCTAAATGGAGAAAACTCCAGTGACCAAACAGACACTTTAAACCACGATGCACAATGAAGTAAAACCAAGTTTAAACCAAGAAAGAAACAAAAGGACGAGAATATTGCTCTGTCGCTGAAGAAAAAACATTAGGTAGAATGATACTTCCTAAAATGAACCCAAACCAAACTGAGTCCAATTTCTGCAAACATACAACTTTATCTCACAAAAATAATTGATTTGATATCGGACGATCTCCCAGTTTGTCACAGCCCAGCTCAAGGCTTGATGAAGGAGGAAAGACCACAAAACCAAATTGTTGACGCAATGAGGGAGAGGGAGACTGGCTGAATTCATCCAGGTCTTCCCTTACCCATTAAGCATCATTCCACTAAATTTTGTGGTAATCTGTCCAGTTGTTTAAGCATAATTTGGATAATTAACAGACAAACAAATGCAGATGAAAACATAACCCTTACATAATAAATACCTTCATCATATAATCCTTATTTTAGGTGCAAAGAAGAAACTGTAATTCATACAAATGGACTGTCCCAAGTAACTGTAGCCCATTTACTGTCAGATCATAAAAAAATGTAAATAATTCTCTGCATCGAGATCAATTTACAGTGGCTGCAGCATGTTATGAGATGCAGGTGTTGCTGACAACAAGTCAGCCAATCAAAGACGACGTCCTGCAGTTCCAACACTAACAGTGATGGATAATGCTATTTACACATGCATGTGCTCACAGAGAGAGAGATAGCAGCCAAGTTTCTCTTTAGAAATCCATCACCACTCTGCATGTGTATCTTTGCAGGGCGAGAGAGGACCAGCTGGTGAAACCGGGGCAAGAGTGAGTGCAGCAGTGTTTATTTATTTTTAATTTAAATTAATGAAACAGTTGGAATCTTTCTTTTTTGTGGGATTTTGTGCAGTTTTTTATGAATAATTCTGTTTCCTCAGGGGGACCTGGGGAAGTCGGGCCTCCCAGGAACACCAGGGTTGAGAGTGAGTGACAGGCCGTCACACAGTATTGGCTAATGACACCAGTGTGCCTTTTTTTGTTTCATATTTGTTGTGCTGGCTGACTGTTATAAATGCACCATGAACCTCATGAATTAATCTTTTCATTTGTCATCAGGGTTTACCAGGGCCCAGTGGACCGCCAGGAGAAAAGGTGAGACTGATTCAATGAAGTGTAATCATACGAGAGTCTGGGGGCAATGGGAACGTGATTCCATCACAGAACGTTTCATAATCTGATGTAATGAATCTCTGAGCAAAGATGAAAGAACATGTGAACCTTTCTGTCCCCAGGGAAGCGACGGAGCACGAGGGGAGCCAGGCAGGAGTGTGAGTATTAAAAAAAATGAATAATAATAATGAAGTATAATAAGTCATCTGTCTTTTTACTTTGAATTTGCTTTTCATGAATGTTTTGTGTGTCAAAGAGCATTGACTGTATTATTCATATCACACAGACTCCAGGTTTTCCGGGAAAGAAAGGGGAACAGGTAGAGTGTCAGATTCTGTTCTTATGTAACTTATCATTTTGACTGGACAGTGGCTTCATCATTCTTTACTCAGATTGGTTTCTTCCCCTTTCCTGTTCTTCCACAGGGGGAGCGAGGTCTGTCTGGTCTCGATGGGCAGAGGGGAGAAAAAGGAGATTCTGGACAGAGAGGAGAGAAAGTGAGAAACCACTGGATGATACAGTATATAACTGTGTGTGTGTGATTGTGAATGTGCGTGCTGACAATCTGCTATTATGTGTACGAAATGTCACATCCTGGCTCAAGGCTGGACAAAGTAGGGAGGAGCACTCCAGGCAGCTGCTGGGGGGGGGGGGGTTAACTCAAACCAAACTGGGTCACATTTCTGCAAACATACAACTTTATCGCACCAGAATAACTGATTTGATCCCGGACGATCTCCCAGTTTGTCACAGCCCGGCTCAAGGCTTGATGAAGGAGGAAAGACCACATAGAAGTTTCAATAAGTTTATTTTAAAGGAAATCTTAATTGTGATATCATTTTACAACCAAAACCAAATTGTTGATGCAATGAGGGAGACTGGTTGAATGCCACCAGCTTATACAGTATAGCCAGACTATGTGAGGTGAATCTACCTGACAACCAAACATCCGCTGTCACACAAATTACATTTTTATTTCTTTTATCACTCAGGGGTCTCCAGGGTCCGGAGGGTCAGGTGTCCTTGGTCCTAAAGGAGAGCCAGGAGAACGAGTAAGTTCATAACAAGAACTCTCCACAACAATTGGCATAATTATAATATTTTCCGGTTTCTGAGATTATTTTCCTGAAAATAGCACCAATCATGCATGACATGTTCCAGTGTGTCACCTGTCAGTGTGAGTCATGCCCCAAAACCACCCAAACTGAAAATGCATAAAACATGTGCCTTTCCCCCTCAGGGACTCGCTGGTGTCAATGGAAGACCAGGTGCCAAGGTGAGAGGCCTGCTGTCTTTTCTTCAGCCTTTCTGCTCATTTGAATTAACTTGAATCTAAAACTGGTCTCGAAAATGTTTTTTAGGGAGAACCAGGAGAGTCAGGAGAGAGAGGCGAGAATGGACGCCCGGGAATTCCAGGGAAACCTGGTCTGTCTGGGAAAGAGGTTAGAGATGTGTACAGCACCATGTCTCTGCACCTTTACCATACCCTTATCAGGAACTTAGTTATATTCATTGTGCACAGTAGAAATCAGATTAATAATAATAGTGATAATAACTTTGATTATATTGCGCCTTTCAAAACATAGCTTTACAAGAGAACAATGAAACTCATTGAATGAATGAGGACAAAAAAAAGGAAATCATTAAAAACAGTATAAAGGACATTGGGGTAGAAATATAAGATATAGTAAGTGGGGCAGAGTGTTAATCACTTTTTAATTAATTAATTAATTCTCATATATTATTCATACTTTCATTTTCCAGGGAGAGAAAGGAGACAAGGGTGATGAGGGCACTCCCGTAAGTATGATCTTCTCTTACTATCTCCATTTCTCATTTTCAAATGCGTACTTTCATTTCCCTTTTGTGATGGAATATATTTCTTAAATTATGCCATTCCCAACAATCCTCTCATCATAGTAAAGTGTGCATATGATCATGAGTGTGTAGATGTTGCTGTGAATGTATAAGCTTGTTTCTCACCAGGGGGAGTCTGGACTTCCTGGGAAGCCGGGAGAACGAGGACTGAGGGTAGGACATGTTTCCTTGAACAATTTTCAATGTCAGCTTTCATTATTAAAACATAACAACAACTACATCAATGGAAAGTTCAGTCCATAGATATTTTTTATTGACCGCCCTCAGGGACTGGCTGGTCAACCCGGACGACCGGGAGAGAAAGGAGACTTTGGAGACCCAGGGGAGCACGGGCGAAATGTGAGATACATTTTATGCATCATCTTACAGACAGCTTACCAATATGCACTTGTGCTATTCCTGCGAGGCCTTTAGAGAATAAACAGGAAAGGAAGGTCAGCTGCTCAGCTTCTTTATTGATCTGTGTTTGATCACAGGGCAGCCCCGGACCTGCAGGACCGAGAGGAGATAAAGGAGAGCAGGTCTGTTCTCTGTTTATTTGTCCCTATTCAACTTTGTACTGTTTCTACTTGATTCTCAAATGTCTCTTCTCCAAGGGAACTCAAGGGCCAGTGGGACCACCAGGAAAAGTGGTGAGTATGTCACATATGTCTTTTCTACAGGACAAGCCAAGGCCCAACAGTCTCCTTAAATTCAATCAAACTACACCAAATTTCACGCATAAATATCAGGTCCCTAAATATGCCCGATGTTTTTATCCATAAAATTCCATAAATGATTCCCTGGGAAAAAGTTGAAAAACACCCCTGATCCAGTTCCTCACCAAAATCAACAAACTCACACCGTATCCTTCCACGAAGCTTTGTGCAAATTTATGTAATCTTTCTTACACATATAAAACCAACACACAGACAGGGCTGAAAACATAACCTCCTTAGTGGATACAAAAACACAGATAATAAATAATTGTTATAATGATGAACAGTATTTATAATACAATGATAATAAATGTATGATGCAACAACAATAGCATCAGATGGATGGATGGATGGACGGACGGACCAAACATATTGTGCATAGGGGCTAGTATAGCCAGTAACTATGTCATTAGATGATACTATAATGTTACAATAATGTTATTTTAATAATTTAATTATACTACAATAACCAATACACACAATGCAATATAATCACAATCATTATGATAATTTATGTTAATTGAGCAACAAGCCTCCCCTCTGATCTAGTCAGAAAATAAATGTGTGTAGGGAGGGGGAGCCCTTGTTTAATTATCACTGTCAATAGTCAACATCTTTCAAAGCATCTTTATTTACATCACACGCCCTCAGTTCACATATTGGTTTAACAGTCATTTCATTAGTTTCCATGAAGGGAAGGTGTGTGTGTGTGTATGAGAGAGAGAGAGAGAGAGAGTTATGTTATACATATTATATCAGTATCTTCTAAAAAGGACTCAGAGCAAGTTTCTTCCGTCTCACCGGCCTCTCTCTACAGGCCACACACACTGCTGACCTGCTCATGACTCACTTCTTAACAAACTTTGTTCCACAACTGTAAGGTTGGACCGACTATATGACAAATACTAAATAAGACACTTTCTCTATTTTTAGCAGACTGCAAAGGAGTGAGACCACAGTGTTCTCATTCAGCTGTGAAACAATAAATCAGGCCCAGGAATCTGTCTTCATCCCAGGCCACCCTCATGCAAACGATCAGACTACTAAAGGTTAACACAATGTATTGATGTGATGACTATCAGAATAGTTTATCTGGGAGGAAGGTTTACAAGACAGAAGCATCAGAGCATTGAGTGCTACAAGAAGAAGTGCGACAAGTGCTGTTATTTCCAACTAGACCAGAGAGTTAATTATACCAGCACTACATGCTATAGAGTGGGTGTATTGTAATCTGTGGTGTGTCTCTGTCTGTTAAAGCAATCGCTATAGAGCCAATACAATCCAATTTGGATTCTACTTGAAATGTTGGTTGGGTGCAGGGTCAGAACTTGCACTATTGATTTTATTTAATCCTGTCAAAGGTCAAGGTCACAGCATCAGATGAATGTTTTAGTGTAATGTTAATGCATGGGAAATACCTTGAAAGCACATAAACATACATTGAACAGAGCTTTGATTCATTACAGATTTTCATTAATTCATTTCTTTATGTATCATATTAAATAAATCAAACTATGAATTATATTAATATCTACACCACACATACATATATTGTGCTGATCAGGTCTAATAATACAATTTTAGTGTCATCATCAATGATATATTATTTTGCTGGCCTACGTCCCTCTCTACATCACCTGTGTGTGAAGTCAAACCTTTAACAATCTAGCACATATAGAATTTTGAAAATGACATGCATGTAAGATTTCTCTCTGAGTCCATTTCTAGTTGTTGCTTTACAACAAAATGTAACTGAAGACAAAATGTCTCTGGCATGTTCTCTTGTGTTTTATCAAAAATGAAGTGATTCATGTTTGTTCTTCTCGGCAGGCGAACGTCCAGGGCCAGCTGAAAGGACAAAGTGGAGAGAAAGTATGTACTGCTCTTGTAGATGTATTTGTGTGTGTCTGTGCACACGTAAAGGTCCAGTGTGTAAGATTCAGGTGAAAGGGAACTATTGGCAGAAATTTAATGTAGAATAATCCTCATGATGTTTTCACTAGTTCCTTTCATCTAAATTGTATGAATTGTAGTTTTCCCTTTTTATTTAAATACTTCATATTTACATTGAGGGGACCCTCTCTACGGAGGAGCCATGTTTTTTACATTAGTCCAGACTGGACAAACTAAACACCTTTTGAGTTTTAATGACAACTGAAGCTACCACAGGTTCTTTCTCATGTTTGGAAGGAGAGGGTGAGGTGAGGGGTGTTCAGCTGTAACATGCAATTTCAACACTAGACAACACAAAGTTCTACACACTGTACCTTAGAGTAACCACATCCAACTGTGGTTGTACGCTGAAAGTAATACTGAGTAAAAACCTCACAGTTAAAATAAAATGAAAATTCATTTTAATGAAAAAATGTGAGTGGAACACACCTAAAACAAGATGTGTAATTTTGATTGCAAGGGCGATGCAGGCAGCCCAGGGGAGCACGGCGACAAAGGTCCGAAAGGTGAAGCAGGGACTCCCGGAGCCCCAGGCATACGAGTGAGTTGGGGCCATTCTTGCAATTTGTAAATGCTTCCGTGAACATTTGATGGGCCACCGTATATGCATCTGTATGCACACTGACCCCTTTCTCCACTGATTTGTTATGCGTGACTGATGAGACTTTGTGACTTGTTGTCCTTTCCCTGCTGTCTATAAAGGGTCCTGAGGGACAACGGGGACCTGCAGGCACAAGAGTGAGTTTGATTTTTTTGTCACTGTTTCTCTATTTCAATTCTCAAAACTACAGCGAATATCTGAATTGCTTTGTCTTTTCCTTTTGCATTTTTGTTTACATCACTTTCACTTCTCATATTTCCAGGGTGACGCAGGAGAAAGAGGGACCCCTGGAGAGAAGGTTTGAAATTTATAAATTGGATTAATCCTTAAAATATAAAAGAACTCTACTGAGCCGTGTTATTTGACCAATACAATAACACCTGCTTTCTGGTGAGGGGCAGGTCTCACTGTCCTTCATTCCACCGGATTCTGTTTCCCATGCAGTAGATTCCCAGTGGGATGAAGTGCAGAGGGGCTGGCAGAAAGCTTCAGGGCCCAAAGTTGACCTGAGACACTCTTACAGTAATTTAAATGTGGTCTCCTTACTCCTAAAACTCTGTGTGACCAGGGAGAACGTGGTGCATCTGGATTAGATGGACGTCCAGGTCTGGATGGTAAACTTGGTGCTCCTGGACCACCTGGACAGAGGGTATTTCAGTTTCTGACAACTTTTTACCAAACCATAAAAAACTGCATGTAAATGGTGAATGTGTCTGTGTAGCTAATACATGTATCTGTGTTTTCTTTGTGCTTCAGGGAGATCCTGGGAAACAGGGAGATCCTGGGAGAGATGTGAGTCTCTCTTTTCCTGTGTGGTTACATCAGCTTGAAAAATACAGTTGGCCCTGAGTTCTCTGTAATCATTCGATAATAAATATTTGTAAGGTCAGTGTAGTCTGACTGAGTAGTGAGTACTGTAATAATGTGCAAATAATACAAATAATATAGTAAATCTGCACACATTCCTAAATATCAGCCCTAAATGTGCCTGATTTCTTTTTTCACCAAGATCCATGAATTACAAAAATGTTGAAAAATGCCCTTAGAAAATGATAGATCTTCCCCCTGATCCAGATCTGCACCAAAATTAAATGGGTTCCTCCCTGACCCATACTGCATCCTTCCACCAAGTTTCATGGTCATGTGTTCAATAGCTGTTGTGTAATCCTGCCAACCCTAGAAGGACTGATCAAACATATTTCAGTTGTCTGCCCCCGAATTAGGAGCATGTACGTGCACTTTAACTGCCAGAGCTGCAGAGGGCACTGTGGAGATGTTAAACTTCAGTCGTTGCATAAGAGGACTGTTGAGAAATTCATCTCTTCAGGCCAGTTTCACTGTTATGTAATGTTGACCAGAATAATGATTTTAAGTTAACTACACAACTTTCTGTTTAAGTTCAAGTTTTACATCTAAATCTTCTGTTAAACACAAACCTTCCAACAAAATACTGGAAAGTCTGAACACAATCTAAGTCGGATTTAAATCAGCAGATAAATGAGATTGAACCTTTCGCTCTGGTGTGTGTCGGTCTGTTTCACCAGGGTTTACCAGGACTCAGAGGAGAACAGGGCCCCCAAGGGCCTGCTGGGCCTCCAGGAACTGCAGGGACACCTGTGAGTACTCACACACACACACACAGACAAAACCATTTATTTTATATCTATGTATATGTATTTTGCCTGAACAACAGCAAGGCCAGCTCCAGAAATACAAATGTCATGAATCAGTGATTATGACGATCTGTGAAATGACATAACACCATTGGTCAGGTTTTTTTTTTTTCTTTGAAAAAGCACCTAGCAACTAGAGTGTAGATACAGCAGAGCAGAGCTCTTCAGGACCCATTGGAACCTGATGGGCCAGGTTGGGTCTGGAAATATTTTTTTGGTTTCGAGACGGGCTTGGTCAGATTGACTGGGCCTTATGCTTGATTCTTTTACACTGCATGTGCCTGTAATCAGAAAAACATTGGCCTTGGGTCAGGTTTGGACACAAAAAGCACATTACATGTCGGGTGTGGTTTTCTCTTGCAGCTTCAATACAGAAATCTGTTACTAGCAACAAACCTTAGCAACTTTCAGTAGAAGAGAGTCACCAGTCCTGCTTGTAAGCAGCCCTGGTGCTATATATGTGAGCAGTGTGGAGGCGAGCAGTAAAGATAGAAAAAGATGACTTTGGCTCAAGCTAAGCAGAATGCAAATAGAATTGAATGACATCATGGATATGCTAATTGGTGTTTTAAATTATCAAGCGACATTTAGAGCAGAACATCTCAGTCTGTTTTCAAGCATATTTAATTTACTGTGTGTCATCATCGTTGTGTTTCAGGGTAAAGCAGGTGAAGATGGCAAACCTGGGCCTGCTGGCAAAATGGTACCTCCTCTCTAGAACTGGCTCCTGCATCCTGAATTAATCCTCTCCCTCTTCTGACAGACTGTCATCTGCTCATGTCTCAGTGTTTTGACTTTTATATATGTTGATTCTGTCCAGTAAGACTGTGAACAAGTTGTACTCTTCCCTGTGAGTGATGCTGATCAAAAGCAGTGTTGACGTGTATTTCAGGGCCTGCTTCTTAATGGCTGTCTTAAGTGAACCTCTAAAGCAGCGGCACTGAATTATCTGAGTGCTCCTTCAGCAGACTGCCCATTATTCCATTATTCCATTTGTGTGTGTGTGTGTGTGTGTGTGTGTGTGTGTGTGTGTGTGTTTGTGAAGCCTGTAATGCATTTTGTTTTGACCTACAGGGTGAGGACGGAGTGCCAGGTGAAGATGGGAGAAAGGTTTGTAACTCTTCATCAATCCATGAGATCACCTTGCACTGACAGGATGGTTTAGTTTTTAGTCAAAGTATGTTTCAGAATTTGTCCACAACACTTATAATATAAGTAATTTAGATGACAAACAGCAGCAAGACAGTGGAGTCTAATGTATGTGATAAATCCATCTTTTTTCATTGTTTTATCAGTCTTTTAAAATGCAGCATATTTAAGAGAATATTGGTTTTGATTTCGGAAGGTGCCCTTATTTCTACAAAAACATTTATCTACACAAAAATATAATTTAGGAAGATATGAATAGATCAATTTAATTTATAATAGAATATTTTTAAAATGAAGATGCTTTTGAAGTGCTTTTTTGGCCTTTATTTCTACTTGTTATCTGACACTTCTTTCTTTAATCTACAGGGTGACAAAGGAGAATCAGGAGCAGCTGGGAGAGATGTCAGTTTTGCCAAATGTCCTTCATGTTATTATTCTGTTAAAGTATTGTGCCTGTCTTAACCTGCCCTATCTCACCACCTTCATCCTGTATTGATCTCACCTTCCTGGACTTTATTGTATTACACATCAGCTTTTCCTCTTTTCTTTTCTCCTCGTCACTTTCCCCCCTCGAGTGTGAATTTATCAACTGGAGCTCACTCTGACATTGACATTACCATCACACTCTTACTCGCTGCTGAATCAATAGGCTTCTCAGAAGCAGCTATATAAATTCACTAACCTCTAATGATCAAGCTTAGCCTTTAAGGGTGAGCCACTTCTGAGAGAAATCCAAAGGAGCACCAAATGTCAGCTTGTTGTTTTTCATGTGCAAAGTCATATTAATTATCTCTGGAACATCAGTGGAGGGGTGGCAGCGGCCACCTGCTTTGATTTTATAGTTCAGCCTCCACTATAGCATCGGCGGAAGTAACCCCGTGTGAAGAGATTCTCAGTTGTGTTATTGCATATTTTCCAGGGCCGTGATGGGCAGAAAGGAGACCGGGCCCTCCCTGGGCCTTTAGGTCCCTCTGGTCCTCCGGGGCCACCTGGGGTCCCTGGCAGCATTGGTCCTCCTGGACAGGTGCAACAGATGTGGACACATTTTACAGTGCTATGAATATTAATGATAGTTGTCATTACTAATGCAAGCACTGACTCTTAGGTTGTGTATATGAAAGGCGTTGAAGCGGCACCAATCCCAGGCCCTCAGGGGCCCCCAGGAACTCCTGTGAGTGTGCATGACTTTCTGATGTTAATTATATATATATATATATATATATGTATATATAACCCTGCTTTTTCTTTAATAGTGATATGCTATGGATAATATGTACATCCTAGGGCTAATGGAGAAGGAATGGAAGAGCAGATGCATATAAAACTAGGATGACATTCAGTAGAGAACATTTACCTCCATTAAGGCCCAACAGTCTCCTTATGAAACCACATTTAAAATTCAATTGTTTGTGTCTGCACCAAATTTCACACACTCCTAAACATTTGTGATTCTTTTCATCAAGATCCATTTATTATTGTTTGGAAAAATTAAAAAGTGAAAAAAAGAATCCTGGATCATCCCCCTGATCCAGATCTGCACCAAACTTTAATGTTTTCTTCCCTGAAACATATCACATCAAGTTTAGTGATAATCTGTTCAGTAGTTTGTGCATAATCTGACTAAATATCAAATGCCAACAAGAGCAGAAGCTCCTTGTCAGAGTTTAAATTCCTCTGCATGTAGTTTCTCATAGAATCCTGTTCCATGTTTTCTGTTCTATTATATTGTATCATCTTCATTTTGCAGAAGCATCAGAAAAAAGAGCAGAGTCTCCCACATGTATGAGCAGTGATGACTGTTCTATCAAGATGTGTCTCTGTATGCTGCTGCATCCCTCCTACAGTCTTATCTCTTCATGCTCTTATCAATGTCCTTGCTCTGTCTTTCAGGGCGTTCCAGGGATTCCAGGAGCTGCGGGAGGCAGAGTGAGTCGCACATGTCTTTATTGATCTCAGTTGGTGTTGGATTAAAAACCATTTAGTCTGACTTTTTTTTTTTAACGTCTGATGTTCTTTGCTCCAGGGAGACAGAGGTTCTCCTGGCCTTAAAGGTGATGCTGTAAGTTGAACTTTCTTTTCTGTTATAGTGAAATGTGACATGACTGAGGCTTCATGCGTTTACTGTTGACACTTTTCTATCTTTTTTTATTGGCAGGGGGACCCGGGAGAAGACGGGGCACCAGGCAGACCTGGGACAGCGGCGGTAAGACATCAGTACACCACTTGTGATGACTAAGCTGTGACTGGTGAATTCATTTATCACCACTGTGCGTCATCTCTGCTGAATGATGTTGCTATATTTCTCTCATCAGGATGTAAATAAAGCTCTGGCCAGCCTCGGTATTCAGGTATGTGGAGTCTGTGTACTTTTGCATTTCAATGATTCAGTGAAATGTTTGTTTTTGTGTGATTTCTAGTTCCCATGTATTATATCTTATTTAAGGAGACAGATTTATATAATATCAAGACACAACATTTTGGGGATTTAATAAAAAAATACAATTGGCGAACTGTAGCTTTGTGATGAGAATTAGTAGAGTAGGTAGAGAGACTAATAATGCCTTAATGAAAATCCATTAACAAATACCCAACAGCTTCCACATCACTTTTACTGATGCATCTATTATGTTATTATACTATGGAGCTGTGGATGAATATTTTATCAGAATTATCTTGCTAATTGAAACTTTCCTGGAACTTTTGCAAACTTTTATGTGTTTCCGTTTATTCATATTCATTTGCAAATGTCATCATACCATTAGCAGCTTCCAGATATATGTATAACTCATGTTCATCTGTCCTTCCCTTGTGTCGACAGTTTAATTAGTTTGAAAATGAAAATGTCATCAGTCCAGTAAAAGTGGATTAACAGAGTTGCCATGACCAAATTCTGAATAGGATCTGCAAGTAATTTAAATCCACAACAGCTCTCAGGGTTTTTGTGACAGACGTGGACTAACACATGATATGGATCTTTGAGTGAACATAGTCCTGACAGTGTGGAGGAATTCATACCGATGTCTCTCTCAGTTACTCTATCTGAAAATTTATTTTTACATTCATAATTTTAGTTTGTGTTATTACTTGAAAAGGTTTCACTTTCCTAATTTTCCTCAAACTGTCATCTGCTGCAGCTCCTCTTTTCAGCCTCTGTCTGAAACACTTCAGGATCAGAAAGTCAAAGCGAAACAAAGGACATTTTTTCATCTCTTTAGATTTTACAGAAATGATTTTGTCTTTACTGACTAAATGACTTTGTATTTATTTGAGGTTTAAATCATTTCAGAGACAGACATGTGCAGCTGAAAGTTATAAAGCCAGTTTCCTTTCTCTCCTCCACACAGGTATCTGATCTAAAGGTGGTTGTGGAAAGGAAGGACAGACTCCTGGTTCCTTCAGTACAGAAGGCAGAGAAAGGCGAAAAAGGAGACAAGGGCGAGTCAGGACCGAGAGGTCCATCTGGTTTAGAAGTAAGTATGATCACGAGGCAAAGGGTATAAATAAATAGACTTGATGCAGATCCATAGTAACATCATAAAAGGTCCATCAACCAATTCAGTAATATATATTATATAATATATTTTCCTTTCCACTTCTGTCTCAACATTAGGGTGCTCGTGGTATTCCAGGAGAGAGGGGATCAAAGGGCGATCAAGGGGATCGAGGACCTGTGGGAGCAACGGGGCCTACTGGAAGAGCTATTGGAGAACAAGGGCCAGCTGGACCCCTGGGGCCTGCTGGAGAGCCAGGCAAGCCAGGGATACCAGGTGTTCCTGGGAGAGCTGGGGAACTGGGAGAGGCTGGGAGACCAGGTGATAAGGTAAAGAGCTGGGTGTCAATAATTGAAAACTCTCTAAGACTCAACATGACTTGACTGACCTCATGTCTGTGTATGTTTCAGGGGGAGCGGGGAGAGAGAGGTGACAAAGGAGAGGCTGTAAGTTCTTATGTTGGACTGATGGACTGATCTATCTAAACATCTTTACATTCAATTGATCACCTCTATCTGTTTGTCAGGGAAAAACTGGGCTAACAGGGCCAGCTGGTCCATCCGGTCAAAAGGTAAACTGCTTTGTATCCTTGTTTTTGATGTAGTGAGACCCTGTGATATAATATTTAGTAAACATAGGAGGAATGATGAAGTTCAAAGATATTTGCATTTTCTCTAGGGAGCGTCTGCTGATTCTGTACTGATTGGTACGCCTGGGACCAGAGGCCCTCCAGGTCTTGCAGGACAGAAGGGAGAGCTCGGTGCAGCAGGACCACAAGGACCAAAAGGAGATCGAGTAAGATTTATACAAAATCACTCTATTACAGAATCACATATCAATATTACACATCATGTCATGTGTATGTAAAATGTCTTCAAGGGTTTTGTTGGACCTCAAGGTAATAAAGGAGACAGAGGAGAGAATGGAGAGAAAGGACGTGATGGCTCATCGGTGAGTTGGCACTCAGAAGCAGTCTAGATTAAACCATTGTAATAATGGTTTAAAGACATTGACACTGACATCTTGGGAAATATATTATTATATATTATTCAATACTATTTTTCACATTTATCAGGCTTTTCTCCCAAGAGGTAGATAAGAATATTCACACCATTCAATTCTGTCTACTGTTTATTAAGCTAGAGCCCACAGCTACTAAGCTTAGAAGTGAGAATAAAAGCATTGGAAACAGTTAACCATGCTCCTTCTAAATAATAGACTTACAAAGTTTGTAGAAAATTAAATGTAGAAACAAAAATTGTGGCTTTATGAGGGATTATGTGCTGATTGTCTCATCTCTCAAGAAAGTTATTTATGAAGGAAGTTTCCCATAATGTCCTCCTCTGCCTCTAATGTTTTACTCAGGCTCAAGGCTCCATGCAACATTAAGATGTGGTTTGTAATTTCAGGGCTCACCAGGAGAACCCGGCAAACCTGGTCAAGATGGGAAAGCGGTAAGTGTTGGGTACGGGGTCTCGTTAATGCTTGCACAAATATGAATAAAATAACATTACATTGTGCAAATTTTTCGAAGTGAATATTTCAGTCGACATGTTTGGTAAGTGTATGTTTCTTGTAAAGCAACCATACATTTAAATATCTTACCCAACTTATTGATTCACAGTGTGTTGCTATGAATGCATAGGATTGTTAATGCATCCGAAAGACAACCTGCTCCTGCTTAAGATCTTGAAAATACAAAAACAAACAGCATTTCAGTTAAGATTTCATCTTTTCTTACCATTCACAGTTATTACTGAAAGTTCAATCACACTGTGGGAAAATTATGTCTTTTTGTGTAGGTGCATGAATAAATGAACAGAGGTACGCTATTAGACACTTCTCACATTTTTTGTTTTCCCTCCCCTCCGTGTCGGAGCAGGGCCCAGCAGGGCCTGCTGGTCCTCGGGGGCAACCAGTGAGTAACCAGTAACCCAGTAAAGGCACCTTCTCTTAGGTTTGACCTGCAGAGTGAATCCACTGGGTTGGCTGAAACCACAAAACAGATGGAGCACTCTTCTCCCCTCCTTGTGCTGAGGCTTCATAGATCCTGTGCAGCTAACACCTCACTATCTAACTTTCTCTCTCTTCATCTCTGTCCATCTCCTTTCCTGTGTTGTTTGTTCCCCCCTCTTCCAACACTGTCCTCTGCCCACCTGTTCCCCCCAACTCTCATCTCATCCAACTGCCTCCATCTTTTATCCTCTCCAGGGCCTGCCTGGGTTCCCAGGAGTACTAGGCAGACCGGTAGGTTCTCTGCTGCTGGCTGGCATGCTTGGGCTGTGGAGGAAGGCGTGTTGTGAGAACCTGTCCCTGTGGTATCAGATACAAAGCTGAATAGATCCATGTGTGCTGTAGCTCACACAGCTAGAAGCATAAAAGATGTGTCTGCGCTTAACAATAGGAGAGTAGAACAATTTATCAGAATGCAAACACCGTCATGGACCCTCCAGGAAAAATTTCATCACTTTAATCTTAATTCATTTGTATTAGGCACGTCCTTCTGAGAGCAGGGCCTGGGATTTGGGAAGAGCTAGACCTTGATGGGTTCCTCATGAATTATTAATCAAGACCACCTGTCCCCAAAGCATCCGTGTCAAACTCAGGAGACGAATTTTGAAGTTGGATTTTAAATGCGTAAAACACCACACATTTGTTGGGGTAGATGAAAGGAAGTCAGCTGACACCCTGAGCCGCAGCTCTCGCCAGGATCCAATGTACAATTGCAGGGGGGAATACTAAATTGGGTGCACTCCAAAAAGTACTTTGTTGTCAATTCGCTGGAGTCTGCTTATCATGCATGGAGCTGTGCCTGCTGTCTGTTGCGCGCTCATCCCTTGCATAGCACTGATTCTTTCAGTTTACCATGTGAGTGTCTCTTTGCTGACATTGTTGATCCTGTGTTTGTGTCGTCCTACCCATTGTGATGTTTATCTTTGTGTATTTGTGTCTCCCAGAGACGACCTTATGTCAATCTGTCTGTCTATTATTTATGTTATAATAATGTACATACATATTTGAAATACTGCATATTTATGAACATATTTGTGAAATAAATATGTCATTTAAAGTTAGGGTTTGTAATCTTGGAAAAGCTAAACAAAAAGCTAAATATTGTTTCACATACAACTTACCAACCCTACCTTTAAAGGAAAAAAAATGCATTTGGAAAAAATGCAGTTTATTTGTGTTCTTTCCAAGAGTTAGATAAAAGATTGATACCACTCTCATGTCTGATCATTAAACATTATATACACTTTATTCATTAAATTGACCTAACTAAGTAAATACCTTAAGATAATGTATGTAATGATTTGGCACTATATACATATACAGTTGAATATAAAGCTACCACTAGTAATCTTAGTTAAGCTTATCATTAAGACTTGAATGGGAAAAAGCCTCCCTCTCTACGTCCAAAGTCAACAAAATCCATGAAGAAGCACCTCCAGCTCAACAAATGAACACGTTATATCATATCATCTTTGTTATATCTTTACAAAAAGTAAATCATATTGATTTAATTTTAGAGTATTCTCATCTAACTCTTGTGTATTATGTAAAATTATACCTTTTAAAATGTGGCCTAAAAGCAATTTTATACAATACATGTTTCACTTGTAGGGAAACCCAGGAGAGCCCGGCATGAGGGGCCCGACTGTAAGTATCACACTTGATGAGGCCTCTTTACAAATCCACACACTATTCCCAACAATTTACATGTTTATTTGTTTTAATTAGGGCCCCATGGGTCCCAACGGGCTTCCAGGTCCACCTGGTGTAAAGGTAAGCTCACTGAGTTGTTGCCATTTCAGAATTTTTCGTTTTTTTATGTACGAATTCATTTGTTTTTTCACTTTGTTGGCCAAAGTAAAACAACGTTGCTTTTTACAGGGTAATCAAGGAGAACCAGGCGTTGGCGTCCAGGTAAAACTCTATCTTTTAGACAAGAGATTCCACTGACCTATAGGACCCAGACATATCACTGCAGTGATAGCAGATCCGCAGTGTGTGAGCTTGTTCCTCTCTGTCTCTGCAGGGTCCTCCTGGTGCCCAGGGGAGCACAGGTCTGCCAGGACCAATAGGGCCCCCAGGAGCTGTTGTAAGTGTTCCCATAAATCACTGCTTCTCTTCAGGGGAAAAAAACTGCTTACATGTTTTCTCATGAAATCTCATGGTGTGTATCACATTGTTTTCCTCTGACCGCTCTATGTATTTCCTCCTGCAGGGTCCACAGGGCCCTCCAGGACTGTCAGGGCAGGTGGTGAGTATGTAATCCTGATCCAGATGCTTCTGTCACTGCACAATCAGGAGGTGTAGAACTGGAGAAAAGCTCTGATCCTGGGGCGTTTTAGTTGTGACTGAAGATGAGAACATAATTACACTGAACCTCTGTGTGTACCAAGCTCTTATTGATAAATGTCTCCTTCTGATAGATTGTAGGTTCTTCTCAGGATGTGATTTGTTCTACTTTAAGCATTTTTTGATCCCTGCAATCAACATTTATATCACTCTATGCTCTTCTCAGTCACATTCTTGTTGAAAACTAATGAAAGTTTGTGCAATAAGATCTGATCATCAAGGTAACTGTTGATGAAATTTGGATTAAAAAATCCATGTCTAAATTGATTCCTTGGTTTTTAGAATCTGGAGAATCTTGGTTTTTGTAAAACACCTGGAAAAAACCAACTCCTCTTACTGGACATTGTGTGAAATCTTCACAGTCACATAACGGATAAATGAAGACAGTTGCAGATATTTAGAAAATTGTGCAAACCCTTCAGTAACCCTTAATCCAAATGTGACACACAACACATGCTTACTATTATGTGCCTATTACAAATACTGAAGAACATCCTGCACCTCAGGGTGAAGCTGGTAAACCTGGAGTTCCTGGACGAGATGGGGTGCCTGGCAAAGAAGGAATACATGGATTACCAGGAAAGCAGGTGTGTGTGTCAGTTGTTCATGTTGTCATGTGTATCTGTGATGTGCACCATGCTGTTTTTATCAGGTTTTCCTCGTTGTCATTGTGTTATTTGTTGCACAGGGCATCGCTGGACCGCCAGGCCAGTCTGGCTTAAAGGGGGAGCAGGGAGACAGCGGTCCTCCAGGGAAGGTGAGAACATGCTGTACCTACCGAGGAGCCTCTGGCAAAAAGGACAAGTTGATAAAATTGGTTATGTGGTTGCTTTTATTGGATGTGATGTCGAATGATTTGCTGCCCGAAGTCATAAAAAAAAAACATTTCTGTAGCGCTAATATTAGCTTCCCACTGGGAGAGTTTTCATCTGATGCACAGCAATAGGTGCTTCTGAGTATTCCTTCGAGGGCTGCAGCTGTTGTTTGTCCATCTGGGGCTGGAGCTGCTGTTACCAACAAACGTGGACCAGAAATGTGTACATATCTTAAAGTTGGTCAAAAAGTTCAGATGTTTATGTGTGTAGTATTTGATTTTAATTCATTTCTCATGGCGAGACACATTTCTATGCATTTTCTATATGAATTCTCCTCACTCAAGAATGATCTGCTTAGAATTTGGAAGTCAAAGGTGAAAGGGCAAGGTCACCTCACAAAGAGAGTTATTTTTTAAATTTGGCACAATTGTTTTTTTTCTTGGCCTCTTGTACATAATATCTCAGCTCTTTAGGGAATTTCTCCAAATTTTGATCAGTTCTCACATGGACTCAAAGATGAACCGATTAGATTTCCATTGTCAAAGGTCACAGTGACCTCATATGAGTCTGGAAATTAAATGTATACTGAAACTGCTCTGATTGGCGGAGGCATACAACTGTGAGGGATAATTTTAGTTTGAGCTTGTATCAGCTAGTAAAGTAATACAACAACATCATCTCTCCATGCAGGCTGTCTCAGTGAGATATCTCTGTTATGTGACTGTTATTGATTGACATTCAGAGGGTAAATCTCACTTGCTGACCCAGCAAAATGAGTTTTCACGTGTTTGGACCATGTTCAGAGGCTCTTTCCTGCTCTCACAGGTCTATTTTATCTGGTGTGGAACAGCCCCAGAGTTTTTTCACAGAATTGTATTAAATAGGGGAAAACCCTATAGAGGCTTGAAGTGCCTCCCTCTCTAAAAAATAACACGACATTGCATACAGTTTTGTATTATTTTATAGCATAAAATTGCAGCACTTAAGTCAGCTGGCAAGTGATTTTCTCAGGCCCTGCAATTTATCTGTATTATACAGTGGATGTAATAACGTGGTTTTTCAGAATGTGATTTGGACTCTATGCTCAGATATAACAAGAAAGAGAAGACTCTTTAACAGATGTATTGTACTGCTCTGGGTGTTGTGGGTCAACTTTATCACTGTCTGTGCCCTGCAGCCTCATCACTGCATCATTTTATCAGGTACAATAAAACTGAAAGGAACTGTCAAATCATAAGGAATTGGGTGTTCCAGTGAAACTGTTGAAGATTTCTCCTGACATCAACATTTTCCTGCTTCTCAGGACAAAAGACTCAACCGAACCTGCCTTATAACTCACACTGAATTATTGTCTGTCCGTTGTCTGTATTTGAATGACTGCAGACGTCTGTTAAGAGGGACTGGCTTGACGAAGCCTGTCCCAATTCTGCCGAGGTGGATCTCAGTTAAGTCAGATATCAGCTCAGTAAGACTGAAAATGACAGAGAAAGTCAAATAACTGTCTCTTAAGTCAACACATCATCGCAAAGTCAAAATCATCATCTGTTCTACTTCCTATTTATAGACGAGGCTCAGGACATCTTTTTTATTATGCCTCCGTGCCGGCGATAGCCAGTGGCCAGAGGCATGTTGTTTTGGGGGTCTTGCGTCTGTCTGCACGTCAGTATGTTTCATTTCTGTGAATGCGAGGAATTTCCTCAAATATGGTAAAAGTATTCACTTAGACTCAAGGATCATCTGATTAGGTTTTGGTCGTCTAGGTCGCTGTGACCTCACAAAGCACATTGTTCACCTTGTGAAGGTGATGTCTCTTAGATTCAAAGATGAACTGATTAGATTTAAGTGGCCACAGTGACCTCATATGAGTCTGTAAAAAATGTATGCAGACAAACTGGTTAGCAGAGGCATACAACTGCAGTCTAGTATTTCTAGTTTCCAATATTGATTATTTCTCAAGTGCACTTTTTGTTTTGCCACTTATTGCTTATAACAACTAATGTATTGGTTCTTGCTCGTGCTATAATAGATCATTAGGTTCACAATGGATTGTTAAGTTTCATAGAGAGACGTGTTACAGAACTAGTTCCCACCCTGAAGTGAATCAAGGATGTTGGGATCACACCAAATGGTAAAGTATGTATATCTTACCCACTAAGCCACTAGATATCCCACCCTGTTTTGTGCAAAATGTTTCGCCTGGTTCCTCGTAGTGTAGTTTCTCTCCGCTGGTCGAATGTGGCTGGACAAAATGACAAAGATGGAGCTTGCTTGTGTGGTGCTCAGTATCCGCTGCCACCCCTGCTGTTTGTGTTCCCGACACGAATCGTGATGAATATCTCGAGCAGTGCCCTCTCTGCTGAAGGCCTCAGGTTTAGCACCTTGGACGGAGCCACAGTGACACTGTCAGTGAGTTCAGCGGTTTGATAAATAACTAGGCAACATGTGTCTGTGAAGGGCCATCTGCTCAGCAGCTCCACCATTTGTTCTCCCACATACACACACACACACACACACACACACACACACACACACACACACACAATCACACAAACCAAAGTTGAAGTGACATTGCATTTTCCAGCTCCACAGTTGCACCAGGCTCTGATGGCAGGAATGTTTGAGTCTTTTTAAACTATAGCGAGCAAAGTTAGCTGAGCTTCCACTTTGTTTCTTGCATTAGCTTTTGAATGGCACAACTTTTCTTGAAATAATGTATTTAAAGATGCACTCTTCTTCAGTTGCAGTCTGATTCACAGAAAGAGTTGTGTATTTGTTGTGTGTCCTTGCTGACAACATCATGCTGCATTAGGATCTGGATTGTTGGGCTGATATGATACTTGAAAGCTCAAACCTTTAAGCACACAATGAAAAATGATATAATTTTTCTGCACTTTTACAGGCAGTGGCTGGACCCTCTGGACCCAAAGGACAAACTGTGAGTCACTTTAATTAGCATTAACAGAAGTATCTCTTAATTCAGTTGCAGCATATTGAACACTATTGAACTCAGTTAATGCAGCCTATAGTCCAGAAATAAGCTGACGTTACTCACCTGTTCCTGATTGATGCAGGGTCCTCCTGGTCTAACGCTGCCAGGCACGACTGGAGAGAGGGGTCTACCTGGGGAGAAGGTGAGTCCGACCAAACCCTTTAGCCCTGAAGACTCGCTCTCTGTGAGCAAGTGTCACAAGACTGAAAGTGTTGAGTGCTCTCTCATTGAAACTGCATGCTGTCATTCAGGGAAACAGAGGGGACAAAGGTGCTGCTGGTAACAAAGGGGAAAGAGTGAGTATAATCGTATCGTAGATCAGCACGTGAACTTAACGTTAACACAACAACATGTTCATGTCCGATGTGTCGTCACACCCAGGGAGTGTCTGGTGAAGCAGGAGAGCCTGGAGAAGATGTGAGTAAACCTTGCATGTTACCTTTTATACTGTGATGTGCTGACTGTACATCTGTCTCATTCTTGTGAGCCAGATATTTCAAAAGCACCTTTTGGGAATTTCTTCAGATTTGGCACAAATGTTCACTTGGATTCACTGATTACCTAGTTTGATTTTAATGGTTAAGAGGTCAAAGTTCAAGGTCACGTTGGCCTCAGAAAACATGGTTTTGGCCTCTTGAACAAGAGTGTGTCTTTTAGGGAGTCTTCCAATTTTGACCAGTTTTCACTTTGACTCAAGATTAGATTTCAGAGGTCAAAGGTCAGAGTGTCCTCATATGAGTCTGGAAAACAAAGACTGAACATGATCTAGTGAGCGAAGTAGTACAATCACAGGGCGGTAATCCTAGTTGTTTATATCTCTATCTATCTATAGAAGAAATGTGACATTTCAGTATGATTACAGATCTACAGTCAGGTCTGTAAGTATTTGGATGGTGAAAAATCCACCACAATGGATATAAAACAAAGCCACCAAGATGTGACTGAAATGTCAACTTCAATTCAAGGGCTTTGACAAAAGCCTACAGTCTAAAATCAAGACTCCTTCATGAATTTAAATACAGAGATTTGCAAACCACTGGTAACACTCGAGAACAGACTTGATAAGACTTTGTGAGAAAACATCTTAAAAGTCTTCCCTGTTCTCGATCAAGATTCTTCAGACAGATGAAACTGAGATTCGCTTGGAGAAGGATTATGGAAAATGAAACGACTCATGATCCAACGACACCAGCTGTCAAACACGGCGGAGTCAGTTCTAAGGAATGGGCGTGCATGGCTTCCAATAGCACTGAGTCACTGATGTTTGATGATGTGACAGCTGATTGAAGTAGCTGGATGAATTCTGAAGTGTGCAGGGCTACACGATCTGCTCAGATTCAAGCAAATGCTGCAGAACTGATTGGACGGTGCTTCACAGTACAGACGGATAACGAACCAAATTATACTGCGAAAGCTATTGAGCATGCTTCTCACTTAGTGGCCAGAAGGTTAGGGGGGCTGCAGGAAGTGGCCTGGCAGAGCTTCTCGAGTGGGAGAAACTCAGTGGTTGGTGATGTGCACGGGCTCCAGGCTTCACAGTCATTTACTGCAAATGGTTTTTTTTATCCAAGTACTAAAAATAATTCCTATAGCTATGTTAGTTCATGCAGATGCTTTTGAGGCTGTGGAATTGAAGGAGCTCTGTATAAAAATGGCTGTTATTCTCTTATAAACAGTTATTATTTGTCTTAAACCTTTTGTCTTAAATTAGGTTGTGTCACTGCCCAAATATCATATCCCATTTAAGCTTATGTGTTTAAGTTGCAGGATATTCCTGTAATTTCTACAAAACATAGTATAAAATATAATATTATATATATTATTAAAGGTTCAGTTTTTGCCTTTTTACCACACCTTTTAAACCGTGATTATTTCGAAGCTATTTCACTTCAATGCCGGTCCAATTATTTAATCCCACTTTAATCAACATATCTATCGCAGTGTGATTAAAGTTTCTGGACCTTCTATCTAAAAGTGTCGACTGTAATTGAGGCCAATCTCCTCCGAGGATGAACTTTTTTGATTATTTGTCGTCCTTGAGGTTAACGAGCCGTGATAACCGGGATGGAAACAGAGACACTGACAAACCAGTACAGAAGAAATATGTCTTCACCAGCAGTATAATAAATATTAAACTAATATTTGGACACACTATTCAAATAAATACAAACTCTGCATTTTGTTATTATTATTTACAATCAATAAAAATATTTTATTGGTGTTGGTTTTAAAAATCTTCTTTTTATGCAGGGGGCAAAGGGATCTTCTGGAAACAAAGGAGATAAGGTGAGCTTTTGCTTTGTGTTTTATTATTTTCCCTGAAATGAAACAAATTCAGAGTAACAGTTGTGAGAAAATATGTGTTGCAGGGAGAGAAGGGCATCGGACTGGCAGGTCCTCCTGGTCGGGACGGGCCTCAAGGTTTAAAAGTGAGTAACATCATGTGGTGCAGGATAATTTAGCTATTCAGATCTCTAATTAGTTACTGTGATATGTCTGACACACCATGGGTAAAAATGTAAATGCGATTGTATTTCAGGGAGATCCAGGTCTTCCTGGTCCAGCTGGTCCTCCGGGACCACTGGGAAAGTCTGGTACAGTGGGACAGGCTGGCCTGAGAGGAGAAAGTGGACAACCAGGACCTCCAGGACCACAGGGGGAGAGGGTTTGTGGAGCTGCTGATCACATAATACTCTTTTAGCCTGAACCTCTGGTGTCATTTTCAACTAATGAGTTTCATTTCATTCAGGGTCTCCAAGGTTTTGCAGGCCGTGCTGGAAATGTTGGACCTCCTGGTCCTGCTGGACCTGCAGGACAAGCAGTAAGTTTAAATCCTGGTTTTATTACACAGTGATGATTAGCTCTGTTCAGACAAAGGTTGCTGTCTATAGACCTGACTTTTGTGCATGCATGCTTTTAGGCAATTGTCCAATGATAGTTTTCATGTAGTTGAATGTTTAATCTCTTGTAAAGTTTCCCTTGGTAACTTACATTATTTTGAGGCATATTGTTGCCAGTATTGTAAGTATAGTAATTCTAATTACTTAATGAATTTAAAAAGCAATGACATTTGGGCACCCTACCC